TGCGAATCTCAACATAAAATTTTTGGAAAGTGGTAAACAATTCACTCATTTCTTTCATTAAATAGATCCATGTCATCCTTGAATAATCATCAACAAAAATGACAAAATATTTATATCCATTGTATGACATTACTTTATAAGGACCCCAAACATCTGAATGAACCAAAGAAAAAGGACTCGACATACGGTTATCAACTCTAGGACTAAAGGGAACACGATGATGTTTCTCCAACTGACACGACTCACAATCCAAAATAGACAGATGACTCAATGAAGGAACCAAAGACTTCAAAACTTTCAGTGAAGGATGACCAAATCTACAGTGCCACTAGAGAGGAGAAAGAGACGATTGGGGAGCTGTTGACGTACTTCCACCACCATCAAGATAATACAATCCACTAGCTTCATGCTCTCCACCAATCTTCATCTCTGTCTTGGTATCCTGAAAAACACACGAAGAGGGGTAAAAGGTAATGGAGCAATTAAGAGACTTGGTCAACTTACTAATTGACATAAGATTAAAAGGAAATTTAGGGACATACAAAACTGTGGATAAGGATACAGGGTCCATGCAAGTCATAGCAATAATTAATGGTATGTTCATCCATACCACGGTGTGTACACCTCCTCGGACCTGAACTATGTCCTCTGCCACGGGCTCCCCCTGAATCTCGACCTCCAGTACAACCACCACTACGGTTATATGTAGGTCCACTATCACCACTTCGGCCATATGTCGGTCCACTACTGCCACTACGGCCAGACTGATCTCCCTGAGCTCCACCTCTAACACCACGACCTCTGGATACTGCAAAAGTGATCTATCGGAAACGTTAGGGTTCTTGGTAGATCCAATGGAAATCCTCCTAAGTTGAGCAAACACCTCTTCTAAGGAAGGGAGAGCTGACCCTCCTAGTATTTGAGCCCGCATTGGTTCATACTCAGATTTCAGCTCCACCAAAAATCGAGTCACATCAAGTTGTTCCCTCTGTTGTTGCTGAATTTTGACATAAGAAGTGAGGGGGTGATAAACATTCAATTCATTACGAATGTTTCTCATACTAGCATAGTACTCCTCAAGACTCTGATTACCCTATTATTGATTAAAGTATTCCTGATACAATTGATATACTCTGGTTGTATTGTCTTGGCCCGAATACAGCTTCTTAGCATGGTCCCACACTTTTTTTGGCAGTATCAAGAAACATAAAATTTACACTAATCTTGGGTTCCATACTATTCCATAACCATGTGATAATCTGTGCATCTGCTTGCTCCCAATCATCATATTCATGAGAATCGGTGGAGGGTTTTTCATCCCTTGCGTGTTTCACCTTCTTCTTTGCCTTAAGAAAGACTTCTACAGATTTAGCCCAAGGTACATAATTTTCTCCATTCAGCTTCATGGAGGTCATTTGAACATTCAGGTAGTCAGTAGGAACCATCACACTAGTCTTGCTATCACTACTGTCTCCCATTGCTGAATTCGGCACACTAAACCACATTACACACTGATTTCAGCATTTACTATTGCTGTTAACTGCTCTCTTTGCACCACAAGCCCTACCTCATGACTATCTGAAACTTCACCTCACTTTTTGAGGAACACTTCCCCTTCGAATCACACTGAAAACTGCACAAACCCTAGCACACTACAATTTGAAATCCCACCATACCATCTGAAACAGACTTATCATTTAATTCACACCAAGAGAATGCATAGAACCTCTTACCTGATCACCCGAAAATCAGACCACACAAAGCACCCACTGCACCACACGAATCAGCCCTCTTCTCTTCATCGATTAGGGGAGGGCTTCTTAGAAACTGCAGCAACCAACCACGAACACCACAACTGGAGGCATAGAAACCTCCAAGGGAAGAGGGCGAWCACTCCTTTTCAGCCCTCTCCCTTATCTCCAACTGATGGCGAAGAAAGCAAGAGAAAACCCTAGATTGGGTGTGCAGAGAACAGAATTCTGGGCAGATCCGATTTGCTCAGTTTAGCTCTGATACCATATTAGAGTTCGGCCTGCCTGTTAGACTGATAACAGTCAAGGAAGAGAGAAAGAGAGAAAGGAGAAGAGTAGAAGAGAAGACAAGGAGGAAAATGTCTGGTTCGAATGAGAGAAAAGTCAACCCTCCCATTCGTTCAAATCTGTTTTATATTACTAAAAATATTGTGGAAAAGTCACATGTGCCCCTACTTAAGTTAGGGACATTAGATCTAACATAAACTTACACCTCAGCCCCTAACCATAAGCACAAAGACAGAAATACCCCTACATACTCGACACTAACACCCAATCTTAAGGTGAACTTTGAGAAAAGTTGCATAGTGGGAGTGAACATGGAGGGAAGGGAGATAAGGGAATATGCATGTATCTTAGGATGTGTAATTTTGGATTGGCCTCTGAATTACTTAGGCCTTCCCCTAGGAGATAACCCCAAGAAAGGAAGCTTCTGGAATCCAGTGGTGGAAAGATTTGAAAAAAGACTTGCTCCTTGGAAGAAGAATTATATTTCTTTAGGGAGAAGGATCACATGGATTAGGTCAATCCTAGCTAACTTACCTATCTATTTCCTGTTAGTGTTCAAGATCCCTACAAAGGTCTCTAATAAATTGGAAAAGTTAATGAGGGATTTCTTGTGGGAGTCAGGAGAGGAAAAGAGGGACCGTTGGGTGGGTTGGGAGGTGGTAACTGGTAACTAGAAGTAAGAAGCTAGGAGGTCTCAAGATTGGGAATATTAGGAAAAGAAATATGGCATTAATGGCGAAGTGGTTGTGGAGGTTTCTGTTAGAAAAGGAAATGTTGTGGACAAGATAGCGGCTAGCATTCATGGGCTAGAGGACAATGGCTGAGATCCTGGAATTCTAGCAAGGACTACAAGTGCTTCTCCATGGAAAGCCATTCATGACTTACTTCTAGTCTTGTCCCCTTGGATTAGGTATGATTTGAACTCAAGTAACTTCATAAAATTTTGGGAACAGACTTGGGTTGGGGATTCTACATTGATGAACTATCTTCCCTCCTTGTATGATCTATCTGACCTGAAAAATGAGCCCATTTCTTCCTTGTTCCTTTAGACTCAACTTCTGGTTTTGGATGGAACCTGGGCCTGAGAAGGGCTGTCAGGGACACCGAATTGGGTGCCACTTTGACTCTCTTATCCACTCTTGAAAATGTTTTCTTGGACCCTTCAAAGGAAGACAACAAAATTGGGACCCCCTCTCACTTAAGTTCCTTTTCTCGTGCCTCATTCTTTAAAACCTTAAATCAGCCACCTGCTTCTCCTGGTTTGTCCTTCCCTGTTAAAGAGCTTTGGTGTAAGCCCATTCCTCCTCGGGTTGGGAGTTTTTGTTGGGTAACTTTCTTGGAAAGAATCAACACAAGTGGTATGCTTCAAGGAAAGAGGCCCAAAACTTGTTTATCCCCACATAGGTGTGCTCTTTGCAAAGCTGATGGGGAATCTGATTACCATCTAATGGTATCTTGCCTTTTTGCTAAAACTATATTGGAATGCATTTCCTCCTTTTTTTGGGTGTAGTTGGAACCCCCCAATGGATGTGCAAAGTCTGTTTTCTCCTTACTTCAGCTGGCCAATGAAAAGAGAAAGGATCACATTGGAGGTGTATTAGGGTGGCTATTTGTTGGTCCTTATAGGAAGAAAGAAATTCACGAATTTTCTCAGACAAGGGGAGAAACATTGAGAACATAATAGAATTGATCCAAAATTCCACATAAGGGAGAAAGGATCACATTGGAGGTGTATKAGGGTGGCTATTTGTTGGTCCTTATAGGAAGAAAGAAATTCACGAATTTTCTCAGACAAGGGGAGAAACATTGAGAACATAATAGAATTGATCCAAAATTCCACATAAGGGAGAAAGGATCACATTGGAGGTGTATKAGGGTGGCTATTTGTTGGTCCTTATAGGAAGAAAGAAATTCACGAATTTTCTCAGACAAGGGGAGAAACATTGAGAACACAATAGAATTGATCCAAAATTCCACATAAGGGTGGCACAATGGCTAAATCCTTGGACCTATTCACAGGTTTCACTTTGGATGACTTACTGAGAAATTGGAAAGAGATAGCAAATTCTGCCCAGATTAAGGGTGTTCCAAGCCCTTGGATCTCTCTCCCCCCCCTGTGGATTCATAGAACTGAAATTTGATGGCAGTAGCATAAGGAATCTAGGGCTTTCTGGTATTGGGTGAGGAAGGGAATGTCTTTGCCATGTATTGAGGCCCAATTGGAGAAGGTGGCTCTCTCAGGGCTGAGATCTTTGCGGCTTTGGAAGGAATCCAAAGAGCAAGAGAATTGAATGTCAGAAGGCTAGTAATTGAAGGTGACTCGGAGGTGGTGGTGAGATGGTTAAAGGAAGACAACACTGGAATGTGGAACTACAACAATGAAAGGAAAAAATTTAAATGGTCGGCTAGGGACATTGAGATAAAATGCAGTTGGGTGAAGAGAACTGCTAATTCATTTGCTGATGGGTTAGCCAAGCAAGGGGTGAATAGGGATTCTTTGTTCTGGGCTCATTTTTAATTTTGTTTCTTTTGTTTTTTGCTTGTGGGGGAGTTAATTCAGTTTACCTCTCCCTTGTACATGACAAAAGGGTAATGGAACAAATGCATCTGCATACCTGCCCTCATTGCTTGGCCATTGGGTGTGTTGGGGGTTCCTTGGAGCCCTTATATTATAGATAACATCATAAGCGTGCATTTCGGTTGGATGATTTGCATGGCCTTTCTTGTAGGACTGTCAGCTTGATGCTGATTCATTTTTATAGATGGCATACTTTCCTTTTTCAATGGTAATCTTACTCATTATTTGTCTAAAGATAATAAGTATAGAATATGGAGAGAAGGTATTTGGCTTGTTTGCAATATGATGTATAATTGAGCAAATGCATCATAGCATAGCACCATTTGAAGTTCTGCAATGATTGTCATTACTTATTCCTTTTTTACTGTTTTCATTTTACACAGGTCTTGAGCCGCAGTGGCCTGGATTGTGATGGACTTGAGACATTATGCATTAAGGATATATCTCTTACACCAGAAAGTATGTGTTTATTTTATTATTTTGTGAGATAAAAAGTTCCTCTTTAAAATACTAGTGGGGTTAATTTGAGGACAAATTGTGTCGTTGCAATTCTGCAGGTGCAGAAAAGGTAGTTGGATGGGCTTTAAGCCACCATCTAATGCACAACACAAAATTAGTTGCAGAAGCAAAACCCGTTTTGTCCAGTGAGAGGTGTCAACTAATATTCCATTGTATTATTATATTTATAAGTTGTTACTTGGTAAAAACATTTGTTTGGTTTGAGAATCATGCATTTGTTGTGTCCTTGTTGAAATCTTCCAGTATCCAGTATGGGATTGGGATTCTGCAGGCCATCCAAAGCGAGTCAAAAAGCTTGAAGAAGTCCCTCAAGGTAACTCCTGTGCATTTTGAAGTTGATGAGGGACAATAATAATAGTTTGCCAATTTGCTGAAATTATTTCAGCAAATGTATTAGCACAATCATCCTTGTATCTTTATTTAAAGAGGCCCTATATGTATTATTTGCTGAAATACGTTGATTGGTACATCTTCAGGATATTGTAACAGAGAATGAATTTGAGAAGAGGCTCCTAACTGATGTTATTCCACCTAGTGATATTGGAGTAACCTTTGATGACATTGGGGCTCTTGAAAATGTGAAAGATACACTTAAAGAATTGGTGATGCTTCCTTTACAGAGGCCTGAGTTGTTCTGCAAGGGGCAGCTAACAAAGGTTTGTATGTCTACCAGTTTTTGATGTTAGATACTCTGTAACTTCCAAAAAGTAATTCTTGAAGCTATGATAGGCATAATTGTTAATTCTCTTGTATTGTTTTTTGCTTGTAGTTTTCATATGTAGTCATGACTACTTGCTTGATTTTTCTTGTATTGATTTTGTTTTCATATGTAGTCATACAGTGAATGACTGTAAGCTCTGTTGCTTTGTCAAAAAGATTCAAATAGTGTGGTAATTACAAAATAATTTAACAGGATTAATATTGTGAGTTCTAGACCATGAGAATATTTTTGGCCACTGGCATTCCAGCTGACTTCCTGTTGGGTGCTGGTATTAGAGAAGATTCTAGAGTTCTTTTCTGTCCACACTGCCCACATTACAACGTCAGCAATCCATGTCCAAACCATTGTGCCTTCTTTGCTTAGATCCTTTGAGTGCCAACATGCAAGACTACACAGGAGGAGGTGAAGGTCCAATGGAGGAAAAGGTGATCAGCTGTCTCAGGGTCAAGTCTACAAAGAGGGCAGGTAATACTAGGAAGATGAGGACCTCTTTTGATGAGTTTGTCCTTGGTTAGACATTCTCCGAGAGCAACCGTCCAGACAAGGAAAGCCATCCTTGTGGGAACATTCTTTGTCCATACAAATCTGCAGTAGTAGCAGGGGCAAAGTGCTTTGTCGTGTAACTCACTGAGAATCAGTCAGACTTCACTGCAAACTCTGCATTCAACAGAATTCTGGTCTATTTGATGGCTTCTCGTTCATGTCACAAGATCTGAATTAGTTTGGGGGCCCAATATCCAAGGTTAAATTGTAACAGTGTAAATCATATGACAAGGCAATCAGCCAGGAGCTGTTTTTTACTGGTTTTAACTTCCCTATTTTAAATGTTATTGATAAAAAGAAAGAACAAAAGAAAGAAAATTCATATTAGATATCTGTTGAACTCTCTATCTGAACCTGTGCCTCTTAGAACCTTTGAGGATATATACAGATCGGTCTGAAGTTTTCATTGGAATAAAGTGTTAAATTTGTCAAACATGCTTCCTTTTGCAATATGTTGGGTGTTTTGAGGGAACTAATACAACAGGTTCTTATGAGATGTGAAGTCTTGTAAGATGCGTTGTTCAGTTATGCTGGATCAGGATTCAATTTTGAAGAGATGTTCTTGAATCAAAAGGTTTTACAATAAGTAGGAATGAGAATATCCAATGCAAATTTAGCAATACCAGGAGTGTCACTCATGATACACTTGGGATTGAAGACTAGGAGATACTCAACATGATCACTTCCATTATCTTAGTTTAATAACCGTAGTGAAGGAGAGATTGAATTGGTTGTTAAGAGTGGGGTAGATGAAACTGTGAAAGTGCATAGGAAGTCTTATGTGATTCAAGCATATAATCAGGTTAAAAGGAAATTTCTACAAGATGGGAATAAAATCAGTAATTTGTATGAAGCAACACGTCCAAACATGAGGGGAAAGATGTCATTGTTGTGATGAATGAGTGTCAAAACTAGAACGGGATTGGAAATAAGCATATTTATGGTGATTATGGAATAGCCTTGGTAGGTGATGAAATGAGGGAAAATAGATTAAGATGGACTTCTTGTCCTCAGTAGGAGCAGACACATTTGGGAGTGCTTTTTGGCCTAAATGGGCTTCTGAAGAAGGCTACTTTTTGAAAAAGCACTTTTTTGGTATTTGGCTGGTGACTATCCCATTGGAGAAGCACTCCCAAACACGTTAACAGTTGGAACTTGGAAGAAGTGATCTAATGCAAGTCAAGGGTTTGGAAGGGCTTAACCATGGATGTGACCGTCGATAGAGTATAATAGAGAAATAGGATTCCTGTGTCCAATATCATGTAGTTGGGTTAAGGTTTTATTGAGTTGAAAGGACGCTTTTCCTCTATGTGTGTACAATTTGAACTTCTTATGCTTAAGATGACTGTTCTTTGTAAGAAGTGGAAAAAGGGGAACTTATTCATCTATTCCACCTTTTCTACCTTCCATTATTAATATCTGACCACCAAGTAAAAGGTTATTCAAAATATTTGATTAAAATTGGTATATAGTCCATCTTTCCTTGCCTCCCAAATACCTCAAGATTTCTGCAAAGCTGCATGGGCAATCATCAGTTTTTTGTAGGTGCTTCAAATAATCCATTAGTTCGTTGCTTTCCTTATTTGTGGATATTAGAACCGACAATTTTGATGCGATTCTCTTTTTGCAGCCTTGCAAGGGTATACTTTTGTTTGGTCCCCCAGGAACTGGTAAAACCATGCTTGCAAAGGCTGTGGCCACAGAAGCTGGTGCAAATTTCATCAACATCTCAATGTCTAGCATTACATCTAAGGTTATTAATGACAAGAAACTGCCAATGCTATAATTCCATCTGTTAATTTATTCATTAATTTTAAGCTCATCTTTTTCCCTTTTACTGCAGTGGTTTGGAGAGGGTGAGAAGTATGTAAAAGCTGTTTTCTCACTAGCAAGTAAAATTGCTCCTAGTGTTGTATTTGTTGATGAGGTGAGCCTATTGCATCTATCTTGTAATTTTGTTATTTGTAATTTTTGTCTTGTACAAGCCAACAAACTCTTTCTCGAAACTTCTTGAAGGTTGACAGCATGTTGGGCCGGAGAGAAAATCCAGGGGAACATGAGGCCATGCGCAAAATGAAAAATGAGTTTATGGTTAATTGGGATGGATTGCGCACAAAAGATAAAGAACGTGTTCTGGTACTTGCTGCCACAAATAGACCTTTTGACCTTGATGAGGCTGTTATTAGACGGCTGCCACGCAGGTAAAGCATCATCATATATAAGCCTGGTTATTTTCTTTCAATATCATTATTATCTATATTCCTTAAACTGATTTCTTCTCATTTGATAAAGCATCATTTAAGTTGGTCCCAGTTGTCTTCTTCAAGAACTGGGTTTTGGTATGAACCTCAGTTTTCTTTGTTAATGGGTTGCAGATTGATGGTTAACTTGCCAGATGCTCCAAATAGAGCAAAAATCCTGAAGGTGATTCTGGCAAAGGAGGACTTGTCTCCAGATATTGATCTGGATGTAATTGCAAGTATGACTGATGGATATTCTGGAAGTGATCTTAAGGTTACCTTTACTGTTCCTTCTCAGACAAGTGTTTTTTCATACTTCAGGTTTCGAGAGATGCATTTTGCTACTTTTTCATATTTCTTAAACTTGTTTTCTGCTATTGCAGAATCTTTGTGTTACTGCTGCACATTGTCCAATTAGAGAGATACTGGAAAAGGAAAAGAAGGTTAGGCTCTTTTTCTTTGATAAATGAGAAATTATCGATTAGAGGATCATGGGAATAGCTACACTAGTTGGATACTTGCAGAAAACAAAAGCAAGAAAGGATGAAAACAGGATCCTAACATGTAAAAATAATTTTATTGACTCTCCATACATAGAATTTTGGTTAATTGAAGATATAATTTGAGATGTTTCTTATGAAGTCCTATTGACACCTATCTGTTCACCCAATTCATGCAACCGAATTTTGGTTATCAGCTTCTACTTCCTGTTATGGTTAAGAAAATTAGAATACCTTGAGCATCACTTCAAGTTTACCCTTCCCAGTGATGGTTGAGAAAACACCATTACTCTTGGGAATATTATGCAAGCTCCTACAGAGAGAAAAGGAAGGGGAAGTGTATCAGTTCTCTTATCTTTTCTTGCTATGTTTTCTGCCTGATGGTTGTAATTATTTTTCAAACTCATGCTGTGTTGTATTCTTATTACTCGTGTAGTCGTGTCCATAGACTTTATGGGTGAAGAGATTCGTTTTTTTGGTGAAGAGGATTCACTTGTTTCCAAGATGATATCTTTTTCCTCGAAAAGCTTATTACCTTTTCTTGCATTTGTTGCTTCTGGGGAGTCTGGATCTACTGTGAAAAAAAAATGCCGTAAACCAAAACACTGTTGTTGCTTATATCACCATTGGACAGCTGTCCCCTAAACAAGTAGCTGAGGCCTCAATTCCCAAAAGTTCAAACGGCTGTCCAACACTGATAGCAACAGCATTGGCTTGCAGCAGATCCCAGCTCCTGGCAAGGAGTTCCTTCTGGTTGATTTCAAGTCAGATATATATGAGTATTGTTTATTGACTTGATTGATCACCTTAAAACACCAGTCAAAGCCTATAATCTTTTTGTTTGCTGCAAGCTAACTAGTTGAACTGCTGACAGGAGCGTGCTGCAGCAATGGCTGAAGGTAGACCACCTCCAGCTCTGAGTGGGAGTGAAGACATTCGGCCTCTAAGCATGGACGACTTCAGATATGCTCATGAACAGGTAAAACAGAAGGGAATTACTATCATGGTTCCAAAGTGCCAACCGTTTTTTTTTTCCCTTTATTCCCATTATATATTACTCTCTATGAAAACAGGTTTGCGCTAGTGTGTCATCTGAGTCGGTAAACATGAGTGAGCTGCTACAGTGGAATGAACTCTATGGGGAAGGGGGATCCCGAAAGAAGAGAGCTCTAAGCTACTTCATGTGAATTGTGAAAGCACCAAAAGTTGAGAAATCAAAAATTATGTTACTTGTCTTAACTCCATTTGTAAAGCCAAAAGAGGCGCTGTTGCTGCTGTGCAAGAGATGCTGATCATTCTCTCCGTTTGCCTAACGGGGGAAGGTACAATGCAAAGAGAAGCTCAGGGAGGCATGCTGTCGTTCGTGTATACTATGAATTGTAATATCATACATTAGATACATGCACGAGTGTTTTATTTTGTTTTTTTTTGAGTTTTTTCCGTATGGGTGGTCTCCAGGTGGTAAAAGGAAGGGGACCTTCCCAAAGTTTTTGGCATGTCTCTGTTTCTCATCTTGCGCTCTCCCATCTCTTCGCCAATGTCTCGTTGCTGGGTTGTATAAAATGTCTGAAATCAAATTTTATTATAATAATATATTTATGGATAGACGGATAGAGAACAAATTAAATAAAACTGGGTGTGCTTCCAAGTTCCAACAGTAAGTCCAGAATTCTGTGAAAAACTAATCCGTGAAATAAAAAAAAAATAATAATAATAAATTAGCTAGTCCTAGTTCTGCTGATTGATGTTATTGATAATCCATGAATGGGTGTTGATAAAAACTCAACCCTAACCGGATCTGTTTTAGTCAAATGCCAGGGATGGACGGTCTATTCCCATCTGCAGCCAAAGTGGACGACCCAACTAAACTCGCAAGGTTAAAACCAAAACAAGACTGAGAAAAGCTGCTTTATCTCGAGTTATATGTATGTGTACCAAGTGTATGATAATGAGAGACTGAGGATCGAGGAGACCCAGAAGTACCATTCCTTACTCTTATAAATTATCAATTAATAATTTGATTTGCATTTTATAATAATATATTTGTTTTTTAGAAAAATAAAAATACTGTTTATCAAAATTTTGAGAATTCTCTCTTAATTGACATTTTTATTAATGCTAAAATTATAAGTACTAAAATAGAAAAAAATGATATAATAATTGAAATATAATAGTTGTATATGTTTTGTACCTTGTACTTTAATATAAAATAAGATAAGAATGGCTTTGTGCATGTATTACTTTATAAAAATCTATATAATATGTCTTTTTATCTTGATTGATGCATATTAATAAAATTGTATGATATCTATGCATCTTGATATATAAATTGTAATATATTATTTCATATATACTTTTAAAATATAAAATTGTTATGTATTTATACATTGTTTATAGCTATTTTGATATTAAACCTAATGTTAATAATATATTTATGGAATTTATATTCATTTTTTTAGTGTATCCATTTGTTTTCATGTTTTTTCGTCAGTATCCATATGTTTTCAAAGCGTGTCCATATTCGAATTGTCCGATACGACAATATTAATACTTTAATTCTTACTCTTGGGCAATGTTCAAAGTATTGACACGTATTGGCCTGTATCGGCCGATATGCCCCCATAGTGGGTGTATCGGAGGTTTGACTAGTTCAGGGGGTAGAGGAGACCTAAACCGGCCCTTCTCAACCGGTTGCAGAAAAAAAAATAAAAAGGGGCCTGAAAAATTATATCGGTTCGCCCAATACGCCCATACCAACGTATCGGATGTATCGATATTTTGAACCTTGCTATTGGGTAACTCCATTTTATCATCACAAGCTCACTTTTATGTACATCCTTCTTAGTAATGCCTACTGCAAAGTGATGTATAAATCATTCTTACTGCATATTCTTTACCTGAACTAACAAATACTCTTGGAATTCAATTATGTCGGCAGGATGGAATTGGAGGTAAATGTTGCTGGAGAAGCCCAAAATTATCTTTGGGGAGAAGGTAAATGTGAAAAAAATGTAGAAAATGTGGGAAGAAATTCAATGAATGGGTAGGAGAAAATGAAAGATGATTTGGACGTTACAGATTTTTAATGGTATTAAGGTAAGACTTTTGGTTGGATTATGAAACCGTTGAGAGATCAAACAGAAAAAAAAAAGTTAGAATATTTGAGGTGTACGCTCTCTAACATATTTGAAAGAGTTATTAACAGTCTCAAAGGATGTGGAGGGTGTGAGTTCAAGAAGAAAAGTTATGAATTGTTTTTTTTTTATACATTTTCTAGTTTTATACACTTGTATTACTTTAGGAAGGAAGGCTGTGGGATGGTGGTTGGTGGGGAGACCCTAGAGCCTAGACTCCCACTCTTCAAAAGTAGGAAAAGTTTGTGTCCTATAAAACTAAAACAAAGGGTTGTGTTCGACATTCATTAAATACCAGAAACAATAACATCGTTCGAAGATGCCAACTGCCGAGTTGCTCATCTCTCTCATCTCTCCCATCTCTGGTTGGTTGTAGCGGAGGCGGAGATAATATTAACATCATTCATCTGTATCGGATCCGGATCCGGATGAGGTAGCCCTTCCATCACCTCAAGGGTCGTTTTATCCGCTCCATCCACTTTCTTCATCTGAGACTCTTCCCTGCACGTGTTTTTCCTGTACGTAACTGCGTGGGCCTCAAACAATTACAGAACTTCAAACTTCAAACTTCATTGGTTGCGTTGCAGGTTGCACTGCTTACACGCAATAGGGATAAGTGGACTGCGTTCCACCTCAGAAATCTGAAATCCAAACAGTTGGATTTAACCAACAGTAATTAATGGGTCAACCGTAGTATGTGTCAGTGTCACCCGTTTTAGTGACCAAATGGGCCCATGGGTGGATGAAACTACGCGTCCTATAGGTCCAGCCCAACAACATACATCATTGTTATTGTTTGTATCGGCCAATCTCTTTCTCAACAGTCAACACTCGAGTGTCTAACTGAATCCTGGAACGTTGGAAGGTTGGGAGTCTTCTCTTTTTCTTTCTTTTCTTATTCATTTCAACTCCTAGGCTAAATCCTAATGGTAATAAAGAAAAAGCATAGTAAGACTGACTTTGCCACTATTATTAAGTAAATGATAGAGGTGAAGTAAACATCAATCATTCAAGGGAGGATAAGAAATTAATAGGAATTAACCAAACACGACATAATTATTAAGTTTGTGTCTTTGTTTCTATCTAGACTTAGAACCAATAAGCTAAGCTCGTACTGGCCTTCTTCACGACAGCAATATTCCTTCATTTCGTACAATTAATGGAAGACCAGCCACACACAACATGGGAGGACGAGCAGAAGGGGGGGAAAGAGAAGTTGAAAGCAATTATCTGCACCAGACACTCCTAAAGAGGAGCCCAACTCTTCCTTCTAATCCTTTAGCTATGGTTGGAGCTAAGGTCACCCACATGGAGAGCTTGGACTATGAGTAAGATCACCACGATCGTCTCTATCTCTGCAGTTCAAGTCTTGTGATGATCGGTTCCGTATAATCCCATAAACAACTGTTTGCTCTTCTCTTCTTCATTCTCTCGTGATGCAGGATTAATGAGAACGATCTCTTTAAGCATGATTGGAGAAGCCGATCCAGGATTCAAGTCCTGCAATATATATTCTTGAAATGGACGCTCGCCTTCCTTGTTGGTCTTCTAACCGGGATTGTTGCCACCTTCATCAATCTCGCCGTCGAAAATATTTCTGGGTTCAAGATTCTAGCTGTGACTGATTTGGTTACCAAAAGAAGTTGAGTCATCTTATATATGTATTTCAAACTCTACTGTGTTGACACCAGAGAATCTTTTAATCAATCTGTATAGGATTTGCATTGAGGTTTTTGTATTGGTGATCGTTGTGCAGATATGTTTTGGGATTCCTCTATTTCACGGGGGCTAATCTGGCGTTAACCATGGTCGCTGCGATCCTCTGTGTTTGTTTTGCACCTACTGCGGCTGGCCCAGGGATACCGGAGATCAAAGCTTATCTGAATGGTGTTAATACACCCAACATGTTTGGTGCTTCAACATTGATTGTCAAGGTAAGGTCTCCCCAACAGCATTTCTTGGATCATATTCATTCAATCAGAAATGCAGTGTTTTGAGTTTTCAGACAGTTTTACAGGAAAACAGCTCTGTTTTGAGATTGATCAGAAAAGCATTTTTAGGTGATAATTCCAATTCACCGTACCTAATTAACAATCCTGGTTCTATAAGAGGAAGTTACAATAGTTTAATTGTTAGATGATTGGTGACAATAATTCAGTGGATTCAGACAGAGAACCATCAGGTCTTAGGATTAAGTTGGAATTGACATGTTCCGAGCCTGAGTTTTGTCTCAGAAGCATTTCCGAGCTCATATATGGAGCTTGTCCAATTCCCTAAGATATGAAATATGAGCTTTGTTCAGACAAAAACTGTTTCAGACTTTTGAATTCTCCAAACCGAGTCAGCTGCCCTTCATGAGTTTGATTCCATTCTGAAACCAATTTGGAAGAAGAGATGATGAAGCGTGTCGAGTAAAACATCCTTAATTTATATGGCATTGAGATTCAACTTGAAAAACCTTGATATTTTTCAGATCGTTGGGAGCATCGGGGCGGTCTCCGCTGGACTAGATCTAGGAAAGGAAGGACCTCTGGTACACATTGGATCCTGCATTGCTTCCTTGGTAGGACAAGGTGGGCCAGATAATTACCGCCTCAAATGGCGCTGGCTGCGCTACTTCAACAACGACAGGGACCGCAGGGATCTCATCACCTGCGGCGCAGCTTCCGGTGTCTGTGCGGCTTTCCGAGCCCCTCTAGGTGGTGTCCTATTTGCTCTCGAAGAGATTGCAACATGGTGGAGGAGTGTCCTTCTGTGGAGAACTTTCTTCAGCACCGCTGTGGTGGTGGTGGTGCTCAGGGGGTTCATGGAGTATTGCAGATCTGGGAATTGTGGGCTGTTCGGAGAAGGAGGTCTGATCATGTTCGATGTAAGCTCAGTTTCCGTAAGTTACCATGCGATGGATCTCATCTCCGTCACTGTGATTGGAGTTATTGGTGGGGTGTTGGGGAGCATATACAATTACCTTCTTCATAAGGTCCTCAGACTCTACAGTCTCGTTAACGAGTAAGAAAATTGCTTTGACGCCATAATAGCCACCAGTTATAATATTGCAACCTTTCAGCTTACTAATTACTACAGGTTTGATTGATCTTTATCGTCTGTCCTGTCCTGCTGTATTTTGCAGGAAAGGAAGATTGCACAAGCTTCTCCTCAGTATCATGGTCTCCCTATTTACCTCTGCATGTCTTTACTTCCTGCCTTTTCTCGCTGGCTGCTCGCGTTGTGATCCCTCCCTCCCCGACACAGAGTGTCCCACCAACAGCAGGAGTGGAAACTTCAGGCAATTCAACTGTCCACCTGGCTATTACAATGATCTGGCCACTCTCCTCCACACCAGCAATGACAATGCCGTCCGGAACATATTCTCCACCTCCACCCAAAAAGAACTCCACCCATTATCCCTTATCATCTTCTTTGCACTCTACTGTATCCTGGGTCTCTTCACCTTCGGGATTGCTGTTCCGTCAGGGCTCTTCCTCCCAATCATTCTCATGGGCTCTGGCTACGGCCGCCTGCTTGGTCTTTTCATGGGATCCTACACAAGCATTGACCAGGGACTCTATGCTGTCCTTGGTGCTGCCTCCCTCATGGCCGGTTCGATGAGGATGACTGTCTCCCTCTGTGTCATTTTTCTTGAGCTCACCAACAACTTACTCCTGCTCCCCATAACCATGATCGTCCTGCTCATTGCCAAAACAGTTGGGGACTACTTCAACCCAAGCATATACGAGATCATGCTGAACATGAAAGGCCTACCTTTCTTGGAAGCCCACCCTGAGCCCTGGATGAGGAACCTCACTGTTGGTGAACTTGCTGATTCCAAGCCAGCGGTAGTCACCCTTCATGGCGTGGAGAAGGTCTCACGTATTGTCGAGGTACTGCGAAACACCAAACACAATGGTTTCCCCGTGGTTGACCAAGAAGCTATTTATCCCTTCGACCCCGTGGGGCTGCGTCTGCCCGCTGCTAGTGCTGGGCCTGGGACAACAGAACTGCATGGGCTGATTCTGAGAGCACACCTTCTCGCAGCACTGAATGAGAAATGGTTTCTGAGCGAGCCGAGAAGAACAGAAGAGTGGAAAGTAAGAGAGAAATTTACTTCAGCGGTACTGGCAGAGAGGGGGAGAAAGATTGAGGAGGTGGCAATAACGGAGGATGAGATGGAAATGTATGTAGATTTGCATCCCCTTACCAACACCACCCCATATACAGTGGTGGAGAGTATGTCAGTGGCGAAGGCTATAGTGCTCTTCCGGCAGGTTGGGCTCCGCCAGATGCTGATTATACCCAAGTATCGAGCAGCCGGGGTAAGTAAAAATCCATCAAATTCAAATCTCTCTTTACGTAGTAGATGTAATAATAGGTTTTTATTCTCCACCCCTCGTATGAAAATGAAAGCCCATTCCTGAACAAACATAAGCCCTGAAATTTAATTATTTATAGTGATGAGACAACAAAGATAAAACACTAAATCAAACAGGCTTATTCAGGGACCAAATAAGTTTTTGTTCTGCAATTCTAAATGAAATTGCATATTTGTATGCAAAGTGAAATTTCCCAGATTCTACAAATTTTCCTTTTTCCCCCTAAATTATCATTAACTGTGCATTGGATTTGCAGATCTCTCCTGTGGTGGGAATTCTGACCAGGCAAGACCTGAGAGCCAGCAACATTTTAAGTGCCTTCTCTCATCTAGCAAAAAGTAAGGGACTAGAACGAAAGTGAGTGATACATTATTCATAACCAGTGAAAAATTTTCATTTTTTTTGTATTCCTTGAACTCTATCAATCTTAGATTCTTTTTTCGTCAATCAATAACAAGCCACGAATACGTATGCAAATTTTTCATCTTTATAATTATTTCCTACCATGTTTATTTATTGGTCAAGAATAAATGTATTCCAGTTTCATCAATTCATCCTAGAGAGAGGGACTGTGTGTGTTAATTTTTCCAATTTTCTGTTTCCGTTATTTTCCTATAATTTTCATCTCATTTTCCATTCCTCCATCAACCATGTAAATTTCCATTGCCTACTTCAATTTTTTTTAGGTGTAGTAAAACAAAAGGAGTGCAATTGCAAACTTTTTACTTGATTTGGCATCAAAACCGAGAAAAGTGGTTGATAAACCGTTTATTGACAACTAGGCACCACATCATCAGAACAGTGAATAAATGCTTCCCCTTTTAGGGAAAGTGTTAAAATGAAGTTTTCCCCAATGTTTAGTATGCACATAAATCAAGACCAACTTTTATCAATACCAATACATACAAATTGGTATGATGGGATAAATGCTGGTGTGGTGACGACATAGCACTGTTTATCAAAACACCCCTTACGAAATGCCCATAGAACCAAACATACGCTCTAATCCATTGACGTTTTCTGGAATGCTGGTATAGTGATTTTTGTCCAGTTCAATTCCTGGAATGCTGGTCTCAATCTCACTTCCACTCAGTTTTTGAAATTCAAAGTACAGATAGCAACCAGGTCATTTTTTTGCTCAAATTGTTAACTCCACGACAATAATTCTGGGCTCCCAGAAGTAAATTCATGGGAGAATGATGGTTAAGCCCAGGGTTAGAATTTTCAGGAGTACATTTTGGGTAGGTGCCAGCTCAGAATCGATACCAATTCATGGAACATTAGTGTGTAGAGTGAGAGTATTTAACATTTTGAATGTTTATAGATTTGCAGTAGAATTCAGAAATCTACAATGGGCCTGTCCATACTTTCTATAAATTCATTCAGGATTTATCGTGTAGGTTTAATTAAACGAGATGGCTGTTCAGTGGACTGTGGAATCAATGGCAATATTCAACACTAATAGTAAAATACATGGGACCCACACCTTTCACAGTGAGGCCTATAAATTTAAGGGTTTTTACCGTTCTTCCACCCCCAAAAATCTTAACTCCACCATGGTAGGTGCCAGTTCGGAATTGATACAATTCACTGGCAGGTATCAGTGTTATAGGTGGAGCCGTGGAGGTGTTTACAATTTTGAATTGTTGTAGGTCAGCAGTTGAATTCAAAATGTTCCGCAGGCAGCTGAACAGCTAATCCAAGTTCGTAGATTTTACAGGACTCTCCTGTAATGTGAGTCTTGACCAGGCAAGGTTTGAGGATCATTTCCCTGCATTTCTGACTGGAATGAAATCTTTCATTTCAGTTGAAAGAACTTAACGTACGTTTCATAAAAAAAAGGCGAGTCAACGGGCAATCAATGAAGTATGATCCAGTGTGTTTTCAAGATTTCAATAAGCGAAATGATTCTTATAATTACGATGATGATTTCATTTTATTTGAACTTGTAAAAAATGAATCTGAAAATTTTCGTTCCACGTGAGCAAACTAAAAGCTCACAAAATTCTGTATCAACTTTTTCCAATAGGAATAAGAAACAGAAGGATATACAAAATTCAATTAGCAAAAAGTAGTATGTACAACTTTAATCTATATAACTATTTCCGTACAGGTTAGTCAAGAATAAACAAATTCAATTTTTGAATGTGAACAAAAGAGGCAGCATTTTTGAACTTCTAGTTTCTGGCAAGAATATCTTGTCTCTGTGCTTTCTTCTTCTTTTTTCCTGTTTTCTTTTTCTTGGCGCTAATTCCTGGTCCCCGTTTGAACACGGCCAGAATCTCGATGCTGCATCCATAGTTCATGATCATGGATTTCACAGATGCAATTTTTAGATGGAAGCTTCATGATCATGGATGCTCCTACTTAAGAAAATTTCCATTATCCGTTTCTTTTCCGTGTAAAGATAAGATCCATGAGACTCTGAATTTATCACCTAAATGCAGAGCAGGCAGGAAGGTGTTGATATCCCTGCTTGTGTGTTCAAAAGTCTAAAAGTAACACTTCCCCCCATGCCTACTTGAATTAGATTCTTATTTTCAAAGATATTTATGATAAAAATATAAAAATATAACTATTCTTGACAGTATTATTAGGAATAATGGTTATTCAAAAAGACGGACTTTTTTATGCATCGTGAAACAAAACTTGTTATAGGAAAACAACGGCCTGGAACTAGTCTCTGCAAGAAGGGAATTACAAAGAGAGATGCACATTCTACAATTCTACTCGATCTAGAAAACCACTTGTAGAAAGAAGTCATAAAGGCAGTTGACCAAATACAACTGTGATTTGGAAACATGAGTAAAGGGAAAATAATTAATATATCAACATTTCCAAGTAAGAAGACATAATATATCAAACGGGATGAAATACCTGTTAGTGCCTGGAAAGAAATTGAAAGCATGGGCTTTCTCCAAATGCCATGCCTTGCTAGACAACAGAGATTTGCAATCCTGTTCAAAACCCTGCCGCATTAGAAATTATGTACATACACGCATTTCCAACTTCAAAAGAGTTTTTTTATCAGCAACTTCGAAAGAGATTTCATAACCATAATGAAAACTAACTACTCTATTAGGACAGAAATACCTCCTTAAAGTTTTCCCACCCACAGCTTATATAGATAAGAGTTTGAGGCAATGCATGACTTTTCTCAGAAGGACTTTTGCTCTCAATCTGAACAGTTGCTTCTCTAGCCCGTAGAATCCAAGGCCTTTTTTCATCTTTTACCTTCAAAAAGGAACTGAGGAATACAAGTAAAAGGTATTAATCACTTCAATAGTACTACAGAAGATCAATTACCCAAATTTCCTCAAGAATCATAATTTAATCTAGACATTGACCAAATCAACACTTAACAAAATAACTACCTTTCAGATGCTGCAGCTTTATGCTCAGATGATTCTAAAGTTTGTAATGCATTGATAAGAGATTGGTCCAACCCTTTCCTAGGAGGATCAACAACAACTACATCTGTTCCCTCAAGCCAAGATAGAGGTCCCTGATACAACCAAAGAAAATAAATCATAAATATAAACTCTTAGCCACCCTAGAACTTCCCTTGAGCAACTAAAAAGTGGGTAGTTTTCTTTGGAAGATGAAGTTTTTAGACACTTTTCATCATTAAAAAAATTTTATAGTATGATATAAACCAATATGTCAACAAATTGCCAAACTTAAGAAAAAAAATCAGAGGCTAATTGAACACTGACAATTGAAGTGTCTGCATGATGCCAGCTGATACTGCAATCCACAAATTTTGGCAAGCGTCCAACTGTTTTCTCAAAAGAGAGCTTTGACTCTTTATTAATATCAACACATTTCACAGACCTGCAAATAGGGAGTTCTTTCAATTAAATCGCAACTCATACTTTAGTAGAAGAATGTGGCATTCAAACATTTAAAAGCAATAGATTAAAGACATCTTGGTACTTGCCTACATTTTCTAGTAGCAGCTAATGATAATCCAATCACACCAGCCCCTGCATATAGATCAGCAATAGATGCTCCATAGGGTACATACTTTTGTAACTTCCGGAGCAAGGAATCAAAAGCCTGCAAAGATAGACTTCATGAACAGAATATCTCAAGCATAATACAAACTATTTAAGTTCAGTCTGCTTTTTTCCAATCATCAGTTAATGATTATCTTTGGGCAGTGAGTGATGGGACCTGCATCCTACAAAATACAAATGATATGTAGATGGTTAGATGAGGCCCAAACAAAACGTTCATTGGAGAAACCCTACAATCATATTGTTTTGGACTAATAGATGGAGGGTGTTAGGGACATTAGTATCAAAATATTTTCTTAATAGAACAACACTTTAAACACCAGTAATCCCAATGTAGCACTGCCCACCTGTCTTTGTCTACAGAGTGCCAAAACTTTTTTCAATAATAAAAATACTTCGATATTTAGACTCCATTAGTTTCATTTTAGAGAAGAAAGATTCAATCTGAAATGTTTTAATTATATTTCTGTCCCCTTTGAGAAAAAAAAAAGGCATTGTTTTCTGCCCAACTATAAAGAACCAAATGCATCCATAGCACCAATATTTCTCAATTGCAGTTTGCTGATGACACATAACTTGGTGAAAGGATTCGAAGTGGGAAGGGACAAAATTCACATTTCACACTTACAGTTTGCTGATGACATAATTTTGTTCTTGGATGCCTCCATAACCAACATCACAAACACTAAAAGGATAATTGAATGTTTCGAACTCATCACTAGTTTGAGAGGTTAACTTTTGCAAAAGTTCTATAGTAGCTCTTAACTCAGTGGAAGTGGAACTTCTGGAGAGCTTCAAATCTTTGTTGGGGTGTAAAGAGGAGAGTCTTCCTATCTCATATCTAGGGATGCCTCTTGGAGGGAATCCAAAATCTCTCAATTTCTGGAGACCATGGTGTAGAAATGTGAGAATAAACTTTCATCTTGGAAGAAGTGTTATCTCTCAAAAGGGGGAAGGCTTACTCTCTTGAAGGCCTCCTTAGCAAATATGCCTGTCTACTTCCTTTCAATCTTCCAGATTCCAACCAAAATCAGAAATCAGATTGAGAAGCTTCAAAGGAACTTTCTTTGGGAAGGAGGTGGGGAAAAGAGAAGTCACTTAGTCAGTTGGAAACAAGTTTGCAAGCCTAAAGAGAAAGGTGGTTTGGGAATTGAGCACTTAAAAGAGAAAAATTCTTCTCTCTTAGGTAAATGGCTGTGGAGGTTCCCTAAAGAACCCAATGCTCTTTGGACAGCTGTCATCTCAAGCAAATATGGATCAAATGTAAATGAGTGGAATAACAATCTCCATTTGAACAGGATAAAGTCCACAAATCCATGGAAAGGTATCATCTCCACCCATACTTCTTTCTTTCCTTTTATAAGATACAAAGTGGAAAATGGCTCTAAAATAAAATTCTGGAAAGACCGTTGGTGGGGGGGATCTACCCTTGCAGCCTCCTTCCCTAGACTTTTTAACCTTACCCTTGACCAAGAAGCCACTATTTCTTCCTGCCTTCCAGACAAAACTGTTGAGAACACCCTAAACCTTCGACTCAGAAGACCCCTAAGGGATTCGGAAATTTCTGAATTAATAGACTTAGTTCAGACCCTTAAAGAAGCCTACATCTCCCCCTCCAATTCTGACACCCGAATCTGGACCCTGCACCCCACTGGCAAATTCTCTTCTAAGTCTATGTTCAAGGTTTTGATTGCTGATGGCCAACATCCCTCTTTTCCTTTTAAGAAGATCTGATGTAGCCACATCCCCTCAAGACTTTGTTTCTTTGCCTGGGAAGCTTGTCTCCAGAAATTAAACACTTGTGATCTCTTGCAAAAAATGTTTTTGGGAAGACTGTCCATCTCCCCTCATGTTTGTTTTTTTTGCTTCAGTGAAGGTGAATCAGCAGATTACATTTTCCTTCACTGCAAATTCACCCAAAAGATTTGGTTCCATTTCCTGAAAATGGCAGGTTACAGCTGGGCTACCAAAGCATGTTATGGACAGGTTTAAGTAAAAGGGGTAAAGTTTACTGGTAATCAGTATTACATGCAGTGTTGTGGGGAGTTTGGGATGAAAGAAACAAACGGTTCTTTGACAATAAATTCAGGCCCCTGGAGGAGCTAATTTCATTTCTTACCTTTGCAACCTCTGGACAGTGAACTCAGACCTGTTCAAAGGACTCTCAGTCAATGATCTCAATAGAGATGCTTACCCCTTTCTATTTCTCCCTCACCTCCATCAATCATCCTCACGATATCCTGAACCCATCAGTGAAGGAGTGATGATCCTAAACTTCGATGGAAGTGCTTTAGGTAACCCCAGATTAGCTGGTATCAGAGGAACACTAAATGATGAAAGGGACAACATTTGCTGGACTTTTAGCGGTCCAATTGGTTTGGCAGATTCCACGAAGGCTGAAGTAATGGCTGTTCTCACAGGAATCAAAATAATAAAAAGTTTGGGAATCCAAAATATAATCATTGCAGGTGATTCAGCAAATACTATAAAATGGTTAAGAGACAGAGGGGGGGACCTTGGAAATTGAGTCGCCATTTAGGAATCCAAATAATAAAAAGTTTGGGAATCCAAAATATAATCATTGCAGGTGATTCAGCAAATACTATAAAATGGTTAAGAGACAAAGAGGGGGGGACCTTGAAGATTGAGTCGCCATTTAGCAGAGGCTAGGGACTCTTTGGACTGCCTAAATGTAAATTTAGTTTGGATTCCTAGGGAACACAATCATACAGCAGATGGCTTAGCTAAATGTGGTGTGTTCTTAGAGCATTTGTATGGCGACAAGCTTCCTCCTTTGTAACTTGTAGGGGTTCTTCCCCTGCTTTGTACATCTTTTCATGTACCTCTTTTTCTCTTAATGAATCCTGGTTAAATTTTCTCAAAAGAAAAAAAAAAATCCCAATTGCAGTAAATGTTATGCATCCCACATTTTTGTTATCCAATCATTGCATTAGGAACAATATTACACCTAATCATGAAGTAGATGCCCTTTATGTAGCCCACTCTAAAAGTAATAAACATTATGGTTTTAATTAAAATTGCTATAACAATGAATACTGGCATTTAAATTTAAATAGTCTAGGACATCAACCATACCCATGCATGTTTAAATGCCAAAGTTAAATAATATCTCATTTGAATGGAAGTTATCTAGTCATATATGAAAAGTTATAGAATTTATATAAGGTTTAATAATATTTAGTTACCATTTTCCAAATCTATGGTAGAGTAGTGCTAAGGAGAACACTACTCCCTGTTTCTCACTTGATGCATGGTTCAAGGGAATCCATGGAGTGCAGCATTCCCATAGTTTTTTTTATTTTTTTAATCAATGGGTGTTTCAATAGAATTTATAAATAATATACCATATTCCAACAATGAAGGATCCATCATAAACAAAAATTAGAAAAGAGTAGGAAAATGACTACCATTATAAAGGTCATTATCTGCTGTAATGGTAAATAACCATGAAGGCTCACCACTTCTATACATTATTTTCGTTGTTTAAACTATTGGAACTTTTAATCTATTCTGTGCACTTGTAAAATGCTAAAATTCCATTTGAACCTGGAGGTGGAAAGCCAAAAAATCCGGATGGAATATACAATTGGGTTACCCTTGTATTTGCCTGACCAAAGCTGGATGGAGCCAAAGATATATCAATGCCTCCAACATGTTCCCAAAAATTACTTTCTCCCAATAGATGCCTCCACCTATTTCCAAATATTATCTGCACAAGTATAACGCCTGTCAAGTTCCAAAATCCTCAAATGACATGAACCAGAACATCTCAAAAGGCTCCAAAATAAATTGCATAAAAGCAACCATCAAGAAACAATAAAAGATCTTGCTTAGATTGACATAGAGAAAAAGGTTTGAATCAAATGCCATCCCAAAATTATCCAAGAAGATCTTTTTTTTTTTTTTTTTTTTTTTGGGGTAATTAAGGCCCAGGTGGGTAGTATATTGGTTTTTTGCTCTTGTTTTGCCTTTTTTTTTTTTTTTTTTTTGGGGGGGGTTGAGGAGAGAGAAGGAAAGAAATAATAGAATATCAACTTTAGTTACTAATTAATATGAAATTTCGCTATTAAAAACTTATTATAGAAGTATTATTTTTGAAAATAATGAAATTAATATATTTTAAGAGATTTTTATCTTTTAGATATGATGACTTGCCACATTTTGAGAGGGAATTTAATGTTCTTACCAAAGAGAATTACTATTTTTCCGATAAGTATGCATGCTAAATGGTATGTAAAACCATGAAACTAGCCACAAGTTAGTTCTTTATATTACAAAATTCTTACTATCTAGACGACTAGGTGCCCCATTGTTGCCCATAATCGTCTAGATGACTTCACAACCATGAATGACGCTTTTGATATGTCATCTTGAATCCATGACCCCTAAAATTCTCTTCTACCTCTTTGCATGCATCAGCTAGTTCTTATGGTCCATTTGGTTCGTAGGAATAGGGGTTTGAAATCGGAACCGGAATGGTCCAACCATTTGGTTGGGTGGAACCGGAATCCTATTCCCATTCCTGATGGAATGGCATTCCCCCATTGAGGGAATGGCCATTCCCTCCCCCTCCCTTGGGAATGAGAATCCATTCCAGTTGATTCCAATTCTGATTCCCATCTACACCAAACAGGTGGGAGGAATAGAGTCAATAGACCATTCTGATTCTGATTCTGATGGATTTCATTCCAATTCTGACTGCAAACCAAACGGACTCTTAATTGTATATTTGTTTGTAGTTCCAATGTATATTAAGTCATCTGTAATTCTGTAACCATAGAGAATATAGCTTGGTTGAACCCAAGCAATAGTTTCAACAAGTAAGAAAGAATATGTTAATGGTAAAACATACCAACCCAGTACTGTCAATCAAGAAAAACTTGGAAAAGGCTCACTTGACAAGTTGACAAATCTATTGATAAACAGACACATACCAATCCACTTGACAAGTGAAAAGAATAGTGCTTGATAAACAGAACCCATTCCATTTTTCTTACAGAAAACTAAAAAACGATTTTCCACTAGCAACCCATACCAATCCATTATTGTAAATCAAGAAACACCCAAAGAAAATGTAGTCTAACATTTGACAAATGAAGAGAAGAGTTATTGACAAACAAAAGTTGTACTTATTTTTTTTTAAACTCACATTGTTAGTAGATGTCTGAAAGTTAACCCAAACAGAGTGAATTAGATGGATATTACTACTAGGACCACCATTCCTCCATAAGAACTGTAAACCACAACTGAAACATCATCTGTAAGGAAAAGATGCAGAAAAGGAAAAAAATAATTCAACCAATCTTGACGGACTAAAATGATCTTACATTGGCCAAAGCATTTAACTTTTCTGAACTGGGTGAGTTCTCATTTCTTGAATTCCAAACCAACGAAACCTGTACTTTACCTGGAAACATATAGGCAATTCCAGTAATGTCGTCTCTTTTCTTATTGCTTACCCTTCAAATTGCTTAAGACTTAAGAAACCTAAAAAAACTAAAGGAATCTAGAATGTAAAATTAATAAGGCCATGCGTTATATTTGACCATTTCGGTATCTTTCTGAAGCCGGGATGGATGTGTTGTATGTCGTTACGGCCATCTGCATGCATCCATCGCCCATTACACTTCTAAAGAGAACACTTAAAAAACAAAAAGAAAAATAAATGCAATTATATTACATCACCATTTTAGTACAGTAGCATTATTGCTTACCTGCACGTATCGCAGCTCACCCGTCCCTTCATCTTCATTATAAGGCTCCACGTCCAATTCAGTAATACCTGAGCAAAATGAAAAGAGAATACAAGACCAGAATTAAACAAAGCAAATTTTTTTATAAAGAGCACAGGACAATAAAACAAATAGAGGAATTAATACTTAAAACTAGGAAAAAAAGAACCGTGTGAGAGATATTGCCTTGTTTTAAAAGTTCAACGGCAGAATTAATGCTAGGATGGTGAGCTGCCAGATAGAGGAAAAATATAAGAGAGATCAAAATTAACCGGAGAAAAAAGAATATCTCAAAATCTCAAACGCTTCAAAACAAAAAGAGCATAAAGAACTCTAACAGTCTAACCTAACCTTTACACAGTGGAATATCAACGACATTATGTGTACCCTCTTGATACAATCCAATCAAAGGGCTAGCCGATGAACCCCGAATAGCGAGTTTTGCACGGCATCTCCAACCCCACTATGAGATTCAAACAGTAAACAAACCCTTGATTGAGCGAAATGAAGAGAAATGCAAAGCACTGCAAACCAATCATGGACCTTACCAATCTACAACTATCAAAACTGAAACCGGAAATGCCGAGATTCTTAAAGAAATCGGCCACTTCATCGAGTATGACCGGTCGGTGGAGATTCCACTCGTGAGTGCAGCCAGAGCACCTGCAAATTAAACTCAAACAAAAGGTTAAGTTTAATTCCTTTAATCTCATACGTTGTTAGACAGATAGAGCTAGAGAGAGGAAATTGTCATACGATTGGAAGTGTGGACATTGGAGGGCACAGGATAAGGAAGGCGCGGGAATAACGTTAGGGCTCTGTGGGATAGAAGGCGGTGAGGCGGGTTGAGAGCGCACTACGGAGGGCGCAAGGCGAGATGTGATGACGGAGGAGACATGGGAGAAGAGCGAGGCAGAGACAGACATTACGAAAGGTAATATCCTCTCAGACAGTAGACTCCCGATTTTGCCGCCCCTGGCGGGAATGGATAAAATATCCTATGCTCTCACTTCAGTCTTCACTGCTTCAGTATTGTAACCAGGGAACCGGAGGGAAAACAACAACAAACATCCCGAACTCGCCTTGGGTAGTAGTAGTAGTAGTAAAATATCAGAAGCTTCCTGACCATCGCCAGGTTTCAAAAAAATATTGGGTAAACCTCCCTTATTTGATAATCGTATATCCCACTTCTAAAACAAATAATTTTAGGGAGAATGACGGCTCCGCGCGTAAGTGCGGCATTGATGCCAATATTCATGGGCGGACATTCATAAATAAAGTATAGATTATTGACATTTGAATGTTTACACTTCAGTAGTGAAAATCAGAAATTTGCCTTGGGCCTGTTTATACTTTTTCGATACAAAAAAAAAAAAAAAGAAGTAAATTATGAAGATCCCTATACCATCAGCCTTTGATAATTATCCCCCACAACTTTTATTTGCAAAAAAATAATAATAATAAACTTTCATTTGTAAATTGCAACAAGATAGGCTCTGTTTGTTTTGTTTGCACTATAATATATACTTTACTTTACATAAATACCTTCTTCTCGCTCGATTCATGAATATAAAATGGGTTCATAGTTGTAAATCTATTTTGTATTCTTCTTGTTTGTTTCAAATTGGTGTAAAGAACTGTACAATGTACAAGTTTGTATCCATCAGATGGATACAGTAGTGTACTCTCCCAACGACAGGAATGTCAGAAAAAAATATTTTTCCCCTCTTAATCTTAATCGATTCACTTTTGTATGGCAAACAAAGGCTCACAAACCCAAATCGGAGTATATAAATACCCCGCTTGTATTTCAAACAAACGCAGCCTTAGTTGCAATAAAGACCTCTTAATAAATTTTCTTTAAAAGAAACACCCCTCTATTAGAGTTCTGTTGGTTAACTTAAAAAAAGATTTTTATTCAGTTGTTTAATTTTTTTTTTAAATCTCCAAATTACTCTTTTCTTATTTATTTAAATGATTTATGGTTCAATTAATTTTCTAAATATAATATTGAATTCCTCTTGTAGGTTTCTGGTTAAATTCAATATTTAGATAAAAATGGTATAAGTTTCCTTTTGGTAATGGAACTGCAAGCCAATTTGCTAATAGAATACTTAAAAACACTGTCCTAAATTCTCTTTATTTTATAAAACAACTATATAAAATATTAAATATGTTTAAGCTAAAATGACGTTTTCCATTGAAGAAAATAGTAACTAAATATAAATAGAGAATTGGGAGTCCCATTTGGAAGGGGTAAAGATGGACTAGGAAAGCAATTTGAGATGGTACTTGGGCTGTCCTGATTGTTACCCCGACTAGGGATGTCAATGGGTTGGGTTGAATGCCAAACCTGTATGTAGGGGTGCAAGTTGAAATCTTTCCTGTATTAACCTCAACCCTATAGGATCGTGTTTGAGTTGAGCTCATTGGCTGTGATTAAATCATATTGGAGTTCGGTCCATGCAGCCCCATCCAAACTCCAGCCTATTGGCACCAGTATTCTAAAAACCAATCGAGAAATGGAATCACTTTTCCATCTGGCTGGGTGGTGGCTTGGTCAATCCATAATATTATTCATAAAATAAAATATAAAAAAATATGTAAAAATTGGACATATTCAGACAAAAATAAGCGTGGTAAATGCAAATTATTGGATACAAATATGATAAAGAATAAAAAATAAAAAATGATCCATGACCCAATGATTAACGGTTTAACTAGTCATGCCACTAGGTTGTTTGATCAAAGTCTAACAATTTTTTTGTACGATGAAAATGACCAAGAAATGTGGCCAGGTGGCAGGTCAAATGGTCCGATCATCCGGGTTGACATTAGTTAAAAATACTAGTTGGCATCACTAAATAGTCTTTCAGATCATTGCATGTGTTGTAACTTTGTTGGTTTAGATACTTGATTGATAACGCGATACTGCATTATATACATTTCTCCCTTTGTACAAAGTAATGGAAGAAGATTCCAAATTCTTTGTCATGAGCCTTGGATCTGGAAACAATTTGCTATTTTAAGGGGTGTTCAACAACATGGTTGCTTTTGTTCTTGGTGTTTTTGCTTATGTAGCAGTTGTTTTTGTTTTTTGTTTTCAAAAGCAAAGCCAACCATGTTGTCAAACTGCCCCTTAGTGGGTATATTAAAACAAATAATAAATTCTTGCTTTTAGCTGACAACTCCTTATGGGGTTCACTTCTTGAGAAAACTACAAGGACATGACCACCAGTAAAACCTACTTAGTGATTTATTTTGCTACATCTGATCCGACAGTTCAATCCTCATCTCCTTATATTTTAGGTTTATACATCATAATTCATATAGCCCATCTGCTGCTTTACTTTTCATTCGTCCAACGACCTGGCAGCAACAGGGCTAATTGATGGTCTACACTTTACAGTAAACAATGTGATTGATGTAAATCCACACAATTAAATTGAAAGTTAGAGCAAAGCCAACGGCTTAGGTTTCGCTGAAAACTTCTGCCATGATCAGAACAACAAGCGAAGTCCAACCAGTAAAAGGGCGTGCACCTTTCCCCTTCCCCTTGTTCTTTTGGTCGTATTGTTCCCACAAATACCCTGTCTCAAAATAATTACGGACGACGTTTCTGCCAGCCAAAGAAAAGTATGGTCACTAAACTGGGCAAACCTCCAGGCCTTGAGAGTAAGTTTAACAAAAAATTGCAAGTTTTACCTAATCAAGGTTTCCCGTAATTCCTTGTAGATGGCCTCAGCTCTGGTTCTATGTGGCCCATCTTCTGCAGTCCCAAAATATAAAATGGATGAACAAGAACCTCAAAACCTTGGAATCAAGATGATTTCTTTCTATGCTGTATTTATTTATTTATTTTCAAGTACCTAGAGAATAGTGGTGGAGTGACGACAGGATCATGTAATTCATGTTCATCCAAATGGGGCCTCTCCAATAAGGTGGATCATGCTCCGTATTGCGTTTCATGTACAGTGAGCTGTGGCAGACATGGCATATAATACTCAGGATTTCCCAATGCTTCAGATCAGCAGGTTCAAAAGATAAATGTGACATAAACAAAGAGCTATTTAGTTGTCTTTTTTTTTAACAAATAAAGGGGGTTAAGATCACCTTGTTTTCGACAGAGAGCGTAGTCCATAGTCTGTCCACAATGTGCTCCTGTTCGAAATCAGGTCCAGCTGTTTTCCCAGGATCCACGATTCCTATATGATAATACAAAGGGTGAAGTCCCTTGCAAGACAGGAACAAGGGAAGTAAAAGGCCAAAGAAACACAACTCAGATACACCAGGAAATGAAAGCTTAGAAATATTTTATTTTCATCCAAGATGCCAGAGAATCTTGCATGAGCCTTACAGGTGGGATGATCCTCATCATAAAGGGAAAGAGATTGACATAACCAATATGAGGAACAAATCTCAACTTTGGTGTTTCTAGAACCTCCCGGACAAACTCTCGACTTGCATAATTGCTACCTGGTTGCTTGGTTTCTTGCCACCTCAAGCGAACCTAAAATCATTAAGGATGTAGTAAGTGGTAAATATCATTGATAAGTTAATATGCATTTAACCTTAATATTCCTATTTTAGCAAAATCAATGAATCAAACAATTGTTATACATTTTAGCAAAATCAAGAAGCAATAACCAATACCTTTTCAGTATGATTGCCAAAATCAAAATAAGCCCCATAAGCATCATCGAAGTGCATCTGCAAAGGCAGCTAAAGTACTAAACATACCAGGAATCAAAACACAGTTGTGGGGGGGGGGGGGGGTAGTTTCTATTTCTTTAAGTTTCCCTCAAAAGCCATTTAATACTCCCTATGCATTCTTTGGAAGGGAAAAAAATCTGAACATTGCATTGAACCTGAACAGCATAATCATGATAGTTTTTTAAGTACCTTATTCAGAACCTCAAAATTTGAGAGCAATTTAGCTGTAGCATGGTAATCCTGCAAAACGATTCAAGTTCAAGGCCCATAAATCTAACAGATGAATCATGAAAGATAAATTCATATTTTCTTGTGTTATACCTTTGTTGGGTCATTTTTCCTTTTAAGAATCTCTGCAATGGAATTCATGCAATCTGCTGCAAGAAACATCCAACATCTTAGATCCAGGTGCCGTTCTTCATCACTTGGGTGTGATGCACGTGGATAATCATCCAACCCAGAAGTCAGTGTCTGGCAATGCCACAAATAACTATTATTGCATAATCTTTTGTTTTTTATTGATCTATTATTGTATGTATAATCATTGATACAACTAGATAAATTATGTAAAAAAAAAACAGTTCTAATCAGCTAAACTTAATAATAACGAAGTACTAGGGATTAAATCTTGTCAAAAAGTATATGAGGGTCAAGAAATTTCAAAGGCTATGGCAAGAATCGAGAGAATGCAAGTATGCAAGGATTATCCAATTCCTCAGCAACAGTTTCAAACTAATCTAACAACAATATTTATTAGCATTAAAGGTTGATAAATACAATAGATATACTGCTAAAACTGTCAAGGTGACCACACATTAAAAAAGCGAAGTCCAACACCATATAGGGTGGTGAGATAGCATCCCAAAAACTTGAACCGAAAGGATGATCTGTCTACCTCCGAAAATTCTGGAAGCACAAAAACCTAGGCGAAAATCATGATTCCAATATTAGTACATAAAGTGTTACTATTCCTTTTCAGATTACAAGCCTTCATAAAGTCCACCATCCTGCAGGTAATGAAAAAATGCCTGACATATTCTTTGCAATTATCACAAATGAGATTGTCTTCTGGAATCTCCTCCTCCAATCATGAGAATTCTATCCAAGGCCATCAACCATTTTAATGCTTCCACCCAAGAGGGAACCAGACTGCCCTAAATCCCTTTAATGTCAAAAACCTCCACTAGGTTTGAAATGATATCATTAAAATACCTTAACTATAAAACTGACCCTTGCTGCATCCTTTCTACGATCTTGCATCACTCTCCAAAGAAGAAATTTGCTAAGCTAAGGAACACTCCTCAAGCTCCCAGTGCAATAAAGGAAATCAGACCTAAAACATAATTGGAAATCATTTTTTTCATTTTTCATTTTTTTGGAGAAAGAGCAACTGTTTTATATTATAAAGCAAAAAAGGTTGAACATAAGAGATTTTTCACATGGTATAGAGAAAACAGCTCATTCCTAAAAGGAAAACTATCCACGTAAGGTGTTATTACTATCTAAAAAAAACCCTCAACTCCCCTGTTTTGGCAACAACGTAAGCATTGATATTTAATTCTTTTGGGGTCCATCTATCTTGAACATTCAACTGAGTCATAATTTCTCTTATTACATTTAAAAAATGAACTAGTCCCAGGGCCACTTGCCCACCATTTGGGACTAGGAAATTGCATTCTTTAAGTTACCCTTTGTTTCCAATAAAGAAATCTGAAATTGCCTTTTGGTACATAATCCCACGTGTAGACCTCACTTCCACTTCTATGGAGTTACCAAACCAGCAGCTTTATGAAAGAACCTATCTATCTCAGCAGGTCTGTGGTTTCCAATGAGATTACCATCAAACTATAATTATTTGCCATCCTTGAGCAAGGTTCAAAGTATCGATACGATACAAATTTCGGTCGTATCGTATCGGTACTTAGAAACGGCCGAAACATTATTTTTTTTTAGTTTTTTTTTCACATTTTGTTTTTTTGGGAAGCTTTTAGCATGTTTTTTATTATTAAAAAAATTGGGGATCCGAAACACCTGGAAACAGGCGTTTCGGACCATATCTTTTTCAAAAGATACGATACGATACACCCCGTATCGGGCATATCATATCGATACTTTGAACCATGTCCTTGAGACTGTTCCCTGACTAAAGTGGGTGGTGGCATGTTCACTGTTCCTTTCTTTTGTTGAGAAACTTTAACCAGGATTCATTGAAGGAAGAAGAGGCACATGAGAAGATGTACAAAGCAGGGGAAGAACTCCTACAAGTTACCAGGATTCATTGTTACTTCCAAACAAAAAGACCTTCCCTATTCTTATCCAACTTTTGTTTTTGGTAGATCAGTAATAAGATCAATTGAATTCCACTATTCACATTAAGATAAAAATAGACTAAAATATATAAGAATAAAGGGAAAATGAAAAAGAAACCCTAGGCAGACCCAAAATAGCCTCACCATACACTCCAGGGATGCATGCAAATAAGGATGAGATGGGCCATAACACAATTCAATTCTTCCTACCTCAGTCTTAGCCAAAAAATCAGCTAGACAGCTAGCCTAGGCAGGCCTCCTAATCCAATAGAATGAAATGTTCACTCTGGCCACCACTGATCTAGCCTCTCTAGTACAAAATTGATACTTAATAGCACCCTGCCCGTCCCATCTATCACCACTGCCTGTCAGCACCCCTCCTATGTCCACTATTATATATCCATGGAATAAATCAATTGTAAATTCCTCAAAAGAAACCAAGAATCCTATGAGAATAATTGCCAAAATTGACTGGGACAGAATACACATTAAGAATCTCACCCTAATGGTTCTTGTACACCCCTTCAATACCTGAATCTGAAAGCCCCGATTGGAGATCGGATTAGCTGAATGCATTATCTGTTTAGTGGAATGTGGAACCAATGATAACACCCCCCACCAGCCATAAAATACATGGGATCAACAGTGAGTGATTGAATGGTTGTGGGCCCCATGTATTTTATGACTGCCGTGGGTCGTTATCATTGGTTCCACAGCCTGCTATACAGCCATTGCGTTCAGATAATCCAAGTTACACAAATTGCTCAAAGAACAACCATCAAGTTGAAAACAGCTTTTCACTTAATATTATTGGTCCCAGATAGACTAAACGATTGCAACTCTCAAACAGCTTCACATGATTTTCCCCTGGTCATCTGAGTTGAAAACAGTGACTCCATATTTACCATCGATGGCCACTTTTCACTTAATATCCAATGTAATTTACTCAAATCACCTCTTAGTTGAGTGTTCCTGCTAAATAGTAAATGAAATAAGCTTCCTGTGCCAAAATCATGACATTCAGAAAATTATTCAAATGGAAAAGGATCTCTCCAAGAAAAGACTGAATTACGAACCACATAACATGTTTTGATCAATGTTTTCAACCCATTATTGATCCAGCCAGTCAGAGCAGTGAACCTGTCACAATACTAGGTGGCTCAACCTCTAACCCACTTTTTTTCGACCAAAAAAAAAACATTTACTCGGTCAATCACCACAACCCATGTGGTTGACCTGTTCAATGGGTTATTGGGTTCTTTTTTTTTTTTGAAATTTTATGTTGATGACATCATAGGTTGACTGAGATGGTTGAACTGCTGACCTGTTGACCCAGAAGGGGAAATGGTTCAAGCTCCAGGATGGGTTTTTAAAGACTGGTTTTGATTGCACACTGCCTGGGAAAAATTAACTCCTTCGTCAAAATACTTTCTGCTTCTTTCAAATTTAAGCTATGCCATGCTAGTAGGTTCCTGGAACTTGCATGGTTGGTATGGTAGATCAAAAGAGTAAACTTGTTCACAAACCAAATTACATGATTATAAGAAGTAAATGTTCAGTCACAAACATGTTGCCTTCTTTTTGTCAAATTTTGTTCTGTGGACTAGCAAATAGCTATAAACTTTTAATGAAATGCTTGCATACATGTGATTTTGAATCGTAGTAAAATACAACCACTTTTTCCATGAAACATGATTTAGAATTAGATCAATCATTTTTAGAGGTAATTTTACTAATATTACATGAACTTTGAAAAGCACATTTTGATTTCTGAGTACTTAGTTGTGTCTATAGCCAACTTGATCTGAACTTGCTGAGTTCTCAATTTCTAAAGTTCATTAAGACTACATGAAAGAGAAATTAAGAAATAACAATCTCATTCCTGTAAAAGCAAATTAGAAAAATCAACATCAATAACTGCAGGTGATCACAAAGTTGTAATTTGAACCTTTGGGTTTAGTTCACGAGTTGTTGCCTTGTCTCTTCCATGCCAGTAATAACTGCTAGCATCCTTTCCTAGAAAATGAAATATTGAACTGTAAATATACACCATACAGTATAGTGTAGCTGTAACCAACAGATTTTTGGAATTTTAATAGAGAAAAAAGTTAATACAATAACCTACTAAGATGTCTTAAGTATAAATTTTTCATTCTTAACACAATCAAAAATCTCTGTAACACATTTAGAAACTTGTTCTCATGAGAAATGTCAAACAAGTCTATTGCAGCTCCCTACTTCTAAAGCAAGATAAATATGCCAGTTTTAACTAATCAATATCCTTCTAGATGTCTTGAAGGATAGAACTACCAAGTAAAACTGCAATGTGCATTATTAGAAATTGGATATCTTACCTGATTGTGTAGTATTGAACCACTGGAACCATGCTTCAAGGCGAACAAAAGCCCTTTCCAGGAATGAAGATATCTCAATGCTTTCAGTTGTAGTAAACTTATTTTGTTTTATGCCATGAACTAGATCTGAAGGAGCAATTTCAAAATAAAATTAGGCAAATGTTATTTCAACAGGATGATATATACAGAATACAGAAACAAACATGACACAAAAGGAAAAAGTAATAAGCAAATGAAACCCAGAGAAGTTAGATACTGTATAAAATAGCATATTTTTAATAGATGATAATAGCCCTAGATAGTGGAACAGTGAAGCAAACATTTGTATAGCCAAACCCAAATAGCTATTGTACGAGTATAAGACTTAGAATTTGATAGAATTAAGTGCTGTTCCACATTCCAATTCTATAAAAATCCCTTCTCCATGCAAGTCAGTAATTGTCTCTCCATCCATTCTATTTTTATTGATTCATTTATTTTTCTTTTGATAAGGTGAGTTTCATTAAGGACAAAATGACAATCCGAAAAAAAAAAAAAAAGAGTTGTCAGGTATACAACATAATACACAGATCAATTTCACCTAATCCATTACTGATTCCTAACTCCCAGGTAAATACAAAATCAATAAAAGTAGGAATACCCTGGATCCCTCCTAAGATTGAATACCAAAAGTCTTCTTTGAAGACAGTTAATCTTCAAAACATCCTTTTCTTATTGATAATCTTTAAAATATCTTTTTTTATAAATAAATGATGATTTTTATTAAAGACAATAAAAGGTATTACAATAACAGCATCTAAACAGAGGCGTGAGGTGTGGCCCTCATTACAGAATCAGAATTACAATTGAGCCAAAAATAGTTCAGCCTTATGCACCCCCTGTTTTGCCAAAAAATCAGCTATCCCATTTGCTGACCTCCTTTCCCATTGGATGATAATTGCCATGTCTCTAATTAACCATTTAAGTCTTTTCATTGATTCCCTATATTTCCAAATCATTGTTTCTGGTTCCTTCAGCCACTCTACTATCAGTTTAGAGTCTTTCAATTCCCAATCTGTCATAGTTTAGGTCTCTAGCAATTTGTACTCCTTGCAAGACTTCTTGGAACTCAGCATACATCGAATCCCTTTCTCCAACAGGACCTGAAAATACAGCAAGAATGTGTCCTTCAGTATTTCTGAAAACTCCTATGCCAGCTGGCCTTGGATTTCCAAGACTGCTGCACATCAAAATTTAGCTTGATAAAACCTTCTTCCAGGGGTATCCAATCTTTAAAATATTCTTGAGCTTAGGAATTGTCTATTAATGCAGAAACCTTCAAAAATCATTCTTCATAATAGGATCAATAGCACTAAGAATCATCTCAACTCATATCCCAGTGCCCCTGCAAGCACTTTTAGTCCACCATCTCTCCCACCGAATTCTGATATAAGTTTATCTTAAACAGGAATGGATGTTCATCAGTGGCTAATGAAAAAAGGCAGTAAATGGAACAAAGCCTTATCCCAACTCTTTAGGATCAATTTATAGATAACGATGGTATCATTTGCAAACTACAAGTGAGAAGAAAACAAGCAAGGTGATGATCTTATCAAGGTGGGTGGGGGGGTGAGAGATTCCTTGTAGAAGGAAACTTTTTCCTTCTTAAAACTTGTATTTGTGGTGGTAGTGATTGTTATTTTCCTCTCTTGAGATCCTTATTCCTTTTGTACATTCTACATATTCACCCTGTCTTCAATAAAATTTCTTGTGGATCAACTTCAGCTTCCAACTCTTTGGTTTAATTAGATCTTTCAGGTTTATTTTGCTTCTGATTGTGTTTATTTTTGGGTGGTCAGGCCTTTTGAGTGAGAGCTTTTATGTTCTTGGGTTTGGGCAAGGCGGGCTATGTCTCCCCTATATCCTTATTTCCTTTTGATAATGGTTAGTAATAAAAAAATTCAGTGGTCACCCCTCCACCGGGAGTAACGTTTGGGGCTCAAAAAAAAATCTTGACGCTGGTATAACCTGCCTCTGAACCCAAAAACTGGAACCTGATTCCCTCATTCTGCTTATTGAGTAAGTTTAATTTGGATATTTCCATTATAATGGAAAAAGCAGGAAGCAAGGTGATGACATATAGCCCTTTATTTCCTGACAAGCTCAGTCATAGATCCATTTGGAAGAATTCAGAAAGAAGCCATAGAAATGCACACAATAATTCAATTTCTCCATCTTAATGTTAAAATCCACTTTGTGCAAAGGACAATTGAGATGGGGCCAATTACCATGGTCATAAGCATAAAAATTTTCCAAATCTATGTTGCATAGTACTCCTAATTAACTGTTCAAATCTTGAACCAATCCACTCTTTAATTCTCACTTCTGGTTTTGCATGGTCTGTTACACCAATTTGTGGAGCTGTTCAGATGGCCATGGCTTATCTCTAGAGACCAATAGGAATTGATCATCAGATGGTTACAAAAGGTTTTAGTAGGAGATAGTGTGTTATATGAAATCTCCTTCGTCTTGCTATGTGCTAGAGTTTTTTATCAGTAAATATGTGTTTTATTAAAATTCAGATTCAGATTATAAACAATTTATACAATTTGATGATAGGACTGTTGATCCCTTTTCCTCGCTCTATTTATCCCTCATTACAATGTAGCCCAAAGTAATTGTTGTATCAATGCCCCTTGTTTTGCTAATCCATCAGCTAGCCCATTTGCACTTCTATGGACCCATTTAAATTCAGCCTCAACCTCCTTGGCAATCTTCTCCACTTCCCTAATCACATGTTTAAACGTCCATGGGGTGTGGCTGCTATTTGTTGCCCATGAAATTACTACTTTTGAATCCCCTTCCACTTCAACATGTCTGCATCCTAGTTGTTTGGCTAGCTTTAACCCTTGTAATAGTGCCAGTAGCTCAGCCTTCAGCGAGTTTCCGTTGCCAATCGGCCCTGAGAACATACCTAATATCCTCCTGTCATGGTTTCTTAATACTCCTCCTATTCCTGAGATGCCTGGATTTCCATATGAACACCCGTCAAAATTCAGCTTTACTTCATTGCCTTCAGGTGCTTTCCACTCCGGCCTTATTTTATCTCTTACCCTCGAAGATTGTGCTACTTCGGACCATGTTCTTAGAATATTTTCAAATGAGAAGACTTGAAAGCAGTCCAAGAGTTTTACCCAATGGGCTACTTTCACTTTGATATTACCAATCACTTCCTCTACTGTTCTACTTTTTTCCAGGAAGATTCTGTTGTTTCTCTCTTCCCATATTACCCAACAGATTGCTGCCTTTGTTGCTTTCCACATTACAGAAGGAACAAAAGAAACTTTGATGATAAAAGCTGCTTGGTTTATCATACTATAAGGAAAGGTAGAAAGACAACTTTCTGGTTTGGCAACTTGCTTGAAGAGATTTTTGAAGGGGTGAAATTCATAAATAGATCATGCCTATGTGCATATTTCTTTGATAGATTAATACAATTATTCCTTAAAGAATTAATGATTGGAATCCTTGGGGAAGGAGACAATTGATTACAGCATCTTCTTCAATCAGGACACCAATACCATACCATTAGCTTATGCATACCACCAACCAAATTAGTAACTCTAAAACCTACCAGTTCCCCAGTTCAACTAATGGAAGTGGCATTAGCACTTAATTCTGACAGCAGATTCATGAATTCTCTGGTTCATTATGCAGCATCAAACCATAGGTAAAGGCTCAGTCCCAGTCATCAAGCTTCTGTTTTCTTCCTCTCTTAAATCTATTGCCCTTTTCTTGCATCAAATATCTTTCCATGGCTCCAATGTCATTAAAAACCTTGAACACGCCTTCTCTTCTATGGTGCCCAGATACACAGATGCCATACAGACATGGATAAGAGAAACAGAGATTCAGCTTACAGTTTCTTAAAATCCTAGAATCAACATGGGCACAGGTATACCATTTAATACATGATTCTCAATTCTCAATTCCCAATACATATATCTAGCCAAATTTAATTAAATCTAACATATAAAGATTTTAATAGTATGATTTATTAAAACAGACTAAAATATTTAAAAGCATTAATGTTGTAAGTATCTCCATGCAGTAACCATTGTTGTCTCGTGTACATATCATGTGAGGCCTGTTCTCTAGGCATGTACAAGTATCCAGGTAGGCAGCTCCTCTTTTCTCCCTCTGGTTCTTCTTACAAGTGACAATAAAAAAGTTATCATTCTGTATTGATTTCTCATACAGATTCTCTTGTGGTCCTTTTTTAACCTGTAAATAATAAATAATTGCTAGATAAGTGCATCTTATATCTAAATCATCAGATGATGCTAACATTTTACTTTCTAGACAAGATGCAAATAGGAATTCACTATATACTAGGTAGGATGTGGTGCATGTCATACTCCAATTTAAAATTTGGAGCTTAATAACAACTCAGCTTAAATAACAGGAACCAGTTAGCATAATCTCCAATCCAGACCACATCCAAGTGAAAAAGTGAGACAAATCAGACTGCCTTTCTTTCTCTTTTCCTTCATCAAAATTGTCTTAATAGCTTCCCTGAACTTAAATTTTCATCTCCTCTTCCCCCACAATGATTGAGAAGACCATTCTCCTTTCCATTTAAATTATCACAGAAAATTATATACTAAATTCTTTAAACTAGAAAAATAGTGAAAGATTTTCCTAAAAGAAAGTAAAAGACGAACAAGCTTACCATGCAAAACCAGAAATAAAGTTGGTGGATTTCCATTTGTGGGATACTGAAGAACAAATTCCTCTGGAACTTTACTGCAAATATTCCAAAAAAGCCTTCATAGTCAAGTTCATTGATGAGTAAAGGTCTGATTTTACCTTCTATTGTACTACACAGTATACAAATCTTATTGCAAGATTATGTAAATCACCTTAGAGCTTCAGCACCCAAAATTTGTTCACGGGGTATCCATCCATCAATATTCATTAGATCTAACCAATGTCCAATGATGTCCAAGCAAATTCGGATATCCCAACGCCTTTCCAAGGTAAAAATTCTCATAAGTGCACAAAATAAATCAATGAGATAAATGATGTCACTGTAGAACTCCCAAACTAAAAAAGTAAGCACTTGAAGATGAAGGAATAAAACACCATTTCAATAAATTCTGAGAATGGGAGGTGACTAACCAGATCATTAACTGATGGAAACCTTCATCCCATAAGAACCCCCTTGGGAAGAATGATCTGCTTGGAACAGCTGTATAAAGTTCTGCTGGCCAATATGGAACAAAGTTATGACCATTTTTAATCTGCAAAAGCAAACACTCAATCTGATTTATCAAGGTAGATGATGATTACAAAGCAGATGAGGTTGCTTCAACGAAACCTCATCCCAACTATTTGGTTTGGTTTAAACCACACAATGAAGCAAGAATGCATCAGGATAACAATCTAATAGTAGCAACACCACCACCATTGCATGATATAATAGCTAATCCAGATAAAAAGAGAAGAAATTCAGATGGCAAAAGCCCTTTGTCTAGCTATATGCGTGTACTAATGAGTTGACGGCTAGGTTCCAAAATAACTTTAAATGTCTCCAACAGATCTGTTTTAGGTAATAACTTAAACTTACAAATCAGAGTCATAATCACTTATTCAGAAAATTGGCAGTTCTGCATATAATAACTTCTTTTACATACAACTAAAATTGAACCATCAAGCTTCCTGTGTCAGACCCTTATTCAAGGAATAAGGCAATAAAAGTTTCTAACAAGTGGGAGCAGTTTTGTTTCTAAGGGATTCCAAAAAATGCAGCTTCCACATATATGGTTAGGCAGGTTAGGCAGTAAACAGTGGTATGCAGCTCCAACTTAATGATAAATGAAATTACAGAATTTCACAACTTACATTTGAATCTCTTGGAATGGCAATTTTTGACTGGCCATAGAAGTAGCCAATTCCACCCAACAGATTTCCAATAGCAGCCCTACCAACAATAATTGATTCAGAATCAACCTGAACATTCAATACGATGACTTTAGATTAATTCATTCAAAGTAGAAAATGGTTCAATAATAAACTGGATTCATTGCTTTTATACAACTCTATATATATAGAGACAGAGAGAGATAGAAGAGAAAAATTGCAGCTAAGAATATAGAAAATAGAGTAGCATGCAATACAGATATAACCAGAATTTCACCATTTGAAGTCCTGCAACTTTAACAAGCCTTCTTACTTGCTGACAATACAGAGAAGAATGCAGATACACATTCATGCAGACAGAGAACATGATCCTCTTTATTTATTTATTTTTTTTTAAGATAAATAAAGAAAAATTTTATTAGAAAGAGGCAAGAAAGGAAATTACAATGGGTGATAAGGCATCAACCCCAAAAAGAAGAAAAAATCCTGCCACCCCAAAATTTCCACAACTTGACGACCTAGACAAAGCTCTCGAACCACACACTAAAGCCCAAATTTGCCCATGTCTGACCTCCTTCCTGACCCCCTCTCATAATACTGTGATCACCTAACAAACAGACAGCCCAAAACTCTCCATCCCCTACCAAGCAAAAACAAAATCACTTCAGACTTTCGTCAGTTGAAACAACAATCTCTTTTCTTCTCTTCAAAGCTGTTTTTGTCTTCATAGTCCTCTTGTTAATTCCCACTCCAACAAGAACATGATCCTCTTTATAGGGATGGTTGAATTTGAAATCAGCAATTCAGCATTTGACAACTTGACCTCTCTATCTGGTAGTTCTCTTGGTAACATAAGACTGATTCAAATTGATAAGATCTTAATTACTAAGGAGTAAGGGTGCCAGGATGCTTTGGATTTTCAATTGGGGATGTCTATTCCACAAAGACTTAGGTGGTAGTCCTTCTCATAGGAGCTTAAATTGCCAACAGAGTACTCTCTCCTTTTCAATTGTAAGGGATTTGGCCAATGCAACCAAGTGCAGTAGGAGGATAGGCAGATGCCACTATCTTAACAAACTGAGATCTTTGGCTCTACCACCGTTAAGATTAGATGCATCCCACGTAGAATTGAACCTTGTAGCTGATGGTTAAGGTAGGTTGGGGTAAAATGTTGTCATATCAGATTATCTAAGTATCATAGCCTGTTTTAGTCTTGTCACTATGGATATACCAGATATTGGACTCCCCTCTCATTGAGTGTGCGCGGGTGGGTGGCTGATCGAGGAAAAGGGCAGCTGTGGAGATGGCATAAACTGAATTACAAAGATCAACAACTCAAAGGTGCTAACAATCAAACCCAATGCCTTGTTCTCCACAGTATATGTCCTTAGCCAGTCAGGTGGGCATGGTATTTTGTTGGTAACAATTAACTTTTATTGAGTGATAAAAAATGAGTAAATACAAGCATGCCAAGCATCCCTTAAAGTAAGCTTGCATACACCACATCACCACCTAAGCCTATCTTTACTGTTGACATTGCCAAGTCCAATGACATTCCCAAAAAACTGTCCAATTTACCCCTTGTTTGGCCACAGCATCAGCCACACAACTTGCTGATCTTTGGCCCCAGTGAAGAGTTGTTTTTTCTCCTTTTTTAGTCAGAGAAGACCCCACCCCCAAGTAAAGGGTCAAAGGGACTTCACCCACTTCCATGTGGAACACTAAAGCAACTTCTTTGGATAAATAAGCATTAACCATGGTTCAAATTTTCTTTTTTCTTTTTCTGACAAGTCCATGGTTCAAATCTCCTCAATATTTGTTGAAATTAATCCCAAAAAAAGTTCATTCCAAAGGAAAAAGGAATTCACTACTGATTTCTTTGTTTTTTCATAAATTTAGATCTCGAATCCATTATACATAGACATGGTTATTTTGCCAAATTAATTTTTTCCTTACACAATGTTAATCATCTATTACTAAAATAATTTCAGAAAATTATATCAAATCAAATAAATTATAAATCAGAGACATGTAACAACTAAATCATTAAATGTTTATATCATAAAGAATTATGTTCGGTGAAATAGAGAATAGTACAACATTCTAATTCCTAGCAAAAGAATAAATAAAAGAGAGATTATCTTAGGGTGGTTTATGGGCTGAAATGTTTTGCATCATGTTTCAGGAAAAGCACCTAACGTAATGAAAAGAAGTTGCTAAGGATGGATACCTTATCTGTCATATTAAAGCACCTTCTGTATCTTTCTTCAAAATCATTTTGTTTCTCATTGAGTAAACCAGTCAGTAGATTTCCTGAAATTTAGAGAGACTTCTTTGGAATTTGTTACAGTAAATAACAAAATAAGATCACAGTAAGCCAAATTCTGCAAAGATACAAAATTATTGATAATGAAGAGTGGATTATTTCTATGGCATTCTAGGATTGTCCGAATAGAGTAGCCTTCTAGGGAAACCATAAGAGAAAAATAGAAATTTCTTTGAATTTATTTTACCATTATTACCATTTTCATTGGAACAAATAAAATAAACAAATACATATATTCAGTATCTGTCAAAAAAAAAGAAAATAGATACATGCACTTAATCTACAAGGATCAGGGGTTTCTGCATCAGTGCATTGCATGACAATAAATAATAATATTGACATAGCTGTAGCACCTGTAAGCTTGTTGATTCGTTCTTCAACTCTTGAGTTCTTCAGATCAGTTCCTGATACAAAAGCAATATCTGTTCTGAAAGGAACAAGCGCAGAAATCTGAAATAAGAATGAAAAAGAAGGGGTTAAACATAAAGAATTGCAACAACAATGGAAAGATAAGTGTATTGAAGAAGAACTATATGTTATAAAGGAGAGACATCAAATGTTTCACGCATGCCTGAAAGATTAAAATGTTTGGGGAATCATCAGATGTGTCAGGTAGCTGCAGACGGCCCACCCTTCTTGCCTGGAAAGGAAGTACAAAAAACATTAAGGAAAAAAAATCTCATTACTAATCATTAACAATTCAAACATGCAGATTTGTATAATTGAATATCTGGTTTTTAAACATTGATACAATATGGGCCTACTACAGAAAGTAAATGAACTAGTTGGACACTACATAGGTTCCAAGGGTTTCTTGGACAAGCTCAGTTAAATTGTGCATGTGAGGAGTCCTGAACCCAGAATAATGAACTTCCAAATTGTCCTGTAAAAAAAGAAAAAGAAAATTACTTAAAATGTTTGATTAAGTTCAACATCCCAAATAATTGATAAAAAAAGTTCAGCATCCCAAATAACATGAGTAAGAATCAACCAAGAACAACAATAAGATGGAATCTAGATATGTCTTCACTGCAAAATGCTATGTGAAATATATCCAAAGGTATGTATGAAAAAGTAGTGCAAGCATTTAGACACTTAACATTACTTAACTAGTTAACCAAATAACTTGGGTTGGCTGAACTAGGGCTGTCAGTGGGTACTTAACCCTAATGGGTTAGAGTTGGGTCAGCCTTAAATGGGTTTTGGGTTGAGGAAAACCCATGCCTAACCCAACCTGTTGACCTTGCAGCATTGAAACATTTGTGTAAATAGTATAGGTGCACTATATGTGGGAGACTTTGGGTTTGGGTCAGTGCTACTTCGGAACCTAACCTTTTGGCATCCCTAGGCTGGACAAATGCTGAGCTCCAGTTCCACCCTGTCTGGGCCACATCTTTTGTTAAATCACAGACCTGAAGGTTTTTTCATTACTTCCAACTAAATGACTCATTGTGCATTTATAGGCTTCAATGCACATGATTAAATCATCTTAGTTGGTTTTCCCTCCTCTTTTCACCTTTTGGAGGTGCTCATAATAACTTTATCCCTCATTGTCTTTAACCATCCATCTCTATATCCTCATTATTTGTCTGTAGGGGTGTCCAAATTCGGCTACCAAACCGAATAAGCAGATTCAGTTCGGTTTATATGGTTTTTTGCTTGGTTTGGCAAAAAACAACCGAACCGAACTGAAATAACCTATATATATATATATATATATATATATATGGCAACAATAACTCAGTTCAGTTATGACAACAAATTCGGTTTGGTTTGGTTTGTTAGAATGCATAAACCGAATGTCAGTTAGGTTCTCAGTTCTAACAGAACTGAACCAACTGAATGAACACCCTTCTTTTTCAGCTTATTCTGTGGATACCTTGTTCCTTGGTAGCCCAAAATTCAGTCCCATATGGTTTGGCTTGTTTTATGACCACTTGTAACAGATGCACTTATTTAGCAATATATGTGAAATATTGACTCACTATTATTCTTTTCTTTTTATAGGTAGTAATTGATGAGAAGAGGGAAAATTCTGTATGAAAAATTCACAAGCATAGCTGGACAGAGTATGAGATTAACTTTATATAAGATCAGCTTTATAGGAGGTAAGATATGCATCCAAAAGAGAACCCAAATTTTCTTATCCATACTTAAAATCTGGGAAATGAAGCCCTCTAAACTCCACAAACATTGGGCACCAAAAATATAGATACTTAGTCCACTATAGTCTATTTCGGTACCTCTTGTTGACAAAAATATGGTGGTTAGACTCATAAATCAACCAGTATATAACAAAGGAAGAAGTTTTCATAACATGGTCTCTCTTAGTAAGGCCCTTATAGGCTGGACAAGGACCAAATTAGAAAAACTACCCTGAGAGGTCCAAGGGCACTTGTAAATAATGGAGTACCAAGGTACGCTAGAAAGATATAACTGATTCACTTATCAAGGTTATTCAAAAACATACCTTCGAGACTAAATGGAGTTCCCAACCTCCAATGTCCTCACGTGATCCAAATGCCAGAAGAGAGCCATCGTGAATGTCTAAACCCCCTGTACCTATATTTAAAGTATTGCCTCCTTCATCAGCCAAATAGAAGAAAACATGACCTGTCCTCCACATCTCCTGGTCGACTTCAGATCTGCAAATTAACCATGAAGGGTAACCAATCATGCAAGATAATGCAGAAAACCTACTGTGCAGTTTTCCTAAAACTCATCTTGTCAGTCCAAAATACACCACCATAGCAAATTTACTTCAAAAAATCTTACGAGGCTTAAACCATAGTATTGCAGTATTTACAGAAAATTAGGATTCCCTTCACAAAATAATAGATGTGCTATTCAAACATTTCACAATGGAGCATGTTATTAGATCTTGGAGAGCACTGCATCTTCAGTTAGCGTGGAGAGGTTATCCATCAATCATGATCTTCTCCTTCCTTGGATTGTAACCATAGTTAACTTTGACGGTTGCTCCATTGGAAGCACTGGAGAATCTGGAATAGGTAGGTGCAACCAGAAATCAAACCGGAGAAATTTTACAGGAATATTCAAGTTTGTTTGGGGAAGGGAATGTCTTAAGAGCTGAGCCTTTCTCCTTGTGAGGGGAATTTCTTGTTTTTCTTTGTTTCTTTCTTTATAAAATTATTATGATTCATTAACAATAAAAAAATAATAATAGATGAGCTAACTTCACGAGTACTCAGGGTGGTACAGGATATCAGGCATATCTGAACATTATGCTAAACATACTACGTGCATCAACCGATGATAAGCATGGCAGGTTAAAATTTTACTTATTGTTTTGCACATCTGTTCGAATTGCCCAATCTCCTCCGTAGCCACTGCCATTCCCCTTCGATTTTACGAAACTTGTCATCAATGTCATATCTTGGTCAATCAACACCTGATGTCCATAATCCCGTCCATTATGATGTGTCCATCCATACGTGCTAAGTTCATCAGAATCTTGGCACACATGACGCATGGAGTACCTTCCATCCTTTATACCAATCCACATCAATCCAGCAATTAACGACCGCGGTGTCCTATATGTTGAACTACCAATTAGTATAACACAACTAAAAGACCGTGGACTTCAGCAAATCAAAATGATGCATGGAGAGCATTTAGCGCGCAAAAAAACTGTACATTTCGTTCAAGGTTGTGAATGATGAGAACAGTGTCGAATCCAATAAAAAAGAAGTAGATGAAAGAGTCCAAAAGGACTTAAACGGAACTGGAAATCCAGTGAAAATATAGCAATGGAGAAAGGAATGGCGAATCCGTACCTGGCACGGATTCCAAGATAAACATGTGGCCGGTAAGTTCCCCAATACAAGCTCTCCCTGTGCTCACCTTGGAACTGAAAAGTTCATGCCAGCCAAAACTTTAGAAATCCAAATTCCTGGAATACCGAATGCTGAAAGAGTAGAAATTTCCTGACCTGTGTAAGATCCATCATTCTTGGAGCAGGCAACGGCGTAACAACTCTGAGTTTATGAACTTCTTCAGTGGGTTTCATTAGATAATAAGTTACTAAAATGACAACCAGAAGCAGCGCCAAAATACCAACTATAAGAAGGCTTCTGAAATTAACGTCCATTATGCGAATCAAATTGTGATCTCTATGTCGCTCCTTTCTACTTCTCGGACTCGACTTTCTATCACTAAGAAAATTATCGCCATCGGCATCAGCTGAGGATTTTATCCTGCTCCGAGCAGGTCTTCTGCTACTCCCAGTCATGCTGGGATCGGTTATTCACAGATTGTTCAAGAGCAGGAAGATTAGGGCTCTTCTTGCATTGACCAGCGACCAAAAATCACTGAAAGATCCAATGGCGCCAACTTGAACAGTAAAATTTTCTGAATATGGCTTTCTAGATTTAGGGTAAAATTGTTGATATTCTTCGACTTGATCCGAAGTGACATCAAACAAGACGCGGGAGAACCTAGACTCTGCTGCTGCTGGTCGTGGTCATCTATCTCTGGCAACGTTTGGTCGTTTGGACCCTGGGACACTCTGGTTCTCTCGGTTAAGACTGGACCAGTCCAAAATCAATTGGGACGGATTGGATCAATCCAGTCCAAAATATCGTTAAATTGGATTGGACCTGATCCATCCATAATAAATTTAGGGTTTCTTATCGTTAAGGGCATCTTCTTGTCCTTAATATCAATAAAAATAATATTTTTATATAATCACGAAATCTTTTTTCGAAAAATATTAAATAAGGACATTTGTCAAATGGTTTTAGAGACTTCACAAAGTTTGGACGCTTTCACTTAAAGTTATGAACGGCAAACGTTAACAAAAAGCTAGAGGAGGAAGACAAATGCTCTTATTTGATATTTTTCAAAAAAATATATTTTATTTCAGTTATTATATAAAAAACATTATTTTTATTGATATTAAGGGCAACGGCTAGAAACCCATAAATTTATATTGGATTGGGTTGGATTAAACCAATGTTTGGTCCATTAATATAAGATAAGAATATAAGTATCAATAGACCAAATTTAGGTTGAAACCAATCTAAATTAAAACAAATTTGAACAGATTGAATGGTCCAAAATGATCCAAAACATTCATTGGATTGGATTGGACCCGGTCCATTTGTAATGGATTCATATTAGACTGGATCAGATTGGACCAAATCCAATCCAATTGACACTTCTACTCTCGGCATCGAGTAGACCTGTTCATGGGCCAAGTCGGGCCGGGTTTGGGTCAGGCTTTGCCTTTACATTAACATAAAATGTTCAAGCCCAAGCTCGAGCTTGAGACCGGCCCGACCATTGGACCTAGGCCTTGAGCCCGAGCCCGACCCAACTATATATATATATATATATATTAAAACAAAGCAGTTAAGAAGTTTTCTCCTTATTTTTGATTTTTTTATTCCATGTCATTTTTGAAACATCTAGATATACATTTTTCCAATAACCTAAATAATCTCTTCTTCTAAAATTACTCCTAAACTACCTCCCCCACTTTCTCCAAAATTATCCCTAATTCATATTTATCTTCCAAATTATCTTTAATTCCTATTTATCTCCAAAATTATCTCTAATTTACTCGAGAGTTTCTCACCTAAATTATCTCTAATTCATATTTATCCTATCCCCTACTTTTTATCTATATCTATCTAAATCAAGTTTGGATTAAAAAATTTAAGAATTATTTAAATATTCTAACAAAATTATATAATAACTTTAAAATGTTTATTAAAAACACAAAATAATTTTATATTTTTACAAAATATATCACAAAATAATGTACTAACAATTTAAATTATATTTTTCTGGATTATCAATTTAATTAATTTAAATGTTTTCTAGATTATCAATTTAAATAACTAAATATCTATCATAACTAGATTTTAAATAGTTAAAATAACGAAATTATGTAATAAATTTTAAAAATTTCTTCAAAGTAGAAAATTAGTTATAACATAATAGTGAAATTAATAATAATTTATTATTTTTACATAATATTGTAAATAATTAATTTCACTTATATCAATTAATAATTTGAGAAAATAACATTCAAAAAATTTAATATTTATTAATAATAATTTTAAACTCTTAATCTGTATTTATTATATATATATATATATACTAAAATTAATATTTATTGTCTTTTGTGATAAATGCATTTTCAATGATTATGTATAAATTCATTTTATTTTGTTATTTAACAGAAAATTTTCAATAATTATTGGAGATTAAATTACTATTATTGAAATTTTTAAATTTAATTTATTATACTTATTGTATTTATTGTATTTTTGTTATAAGTTATTGATTCATATTTATTATAGATTAAACTATTATTTGAGATTATACTATTTATTGACTAAGCTAATATATTTTTAGTACTTATTGTATTTTTTGTAATTTTTGTAATTATTATACTTTTCATTATCAATATGTTTTCAATAATTGTGTATTTTTGCTATAAATTTTTAATAATTATTGGAGATTAAACTATTGTTATTTATTAGAAATAAAACTATTAATTTAGCTAAATTTATGATTGTTCATGAGTTGGTTCGGTTCAGTCGTAGGCTATTTGGCCAACCAAATTGACCTGGTCAGGTTAGGGAGTTGGCTAGCTGAAACCAACTAACCTTTTGTGAAAACTGGCTCACTCAAGTTGTATCGGTTTGGGTCGATTTTTTGGTTTGGTTAGTCTATTCAAAAGATTTAAACTTAAAATTTTAATTTAATATTAAAAATTACAGTGCAATTATTAAAAATTAAATTTAAAATATAAAATATTAATATATATCTATGGTTAGGTCGTTCGATTTCGGTCGGTTTATAAAAGGCCAAAGTGAAACTGATCCAACTTGGTCAAATTGGTAAATTTTTTAACCAAAAGCCAACCTAAAATACTAGAAAACCGACCAACTCGGATCGAGTTAATCGGGTTGGTCGATTTCATCAGTTTGATAAATAAGCCTAACTGAAATTAATCATTGTTATTTTTGTGTTATAAAAAATTTATTAAAAGTAGTATATAAAATATGAATATTTATTAATTATTTAAAAAGTTGAAAATATAAAACAATTGTATAGTCCTATGTGTTTCTATTAGGGTCATTTATTAGAACACACTTTTAGGGATGGCAATTTTCCCCATCCCCGACGGGACCCGACTTCCCCAACCCGATGGGGCCGGGGATGGGGATTGTTTTGGCAGGGCGGGGGTGGGGACAGGGATTAATAGGAATCCTTGGTCGAGGTCAGGGTCGGGGTCGGGGATGGGGATTGAGATCCTCGCCCCACCCCAACCCCAATATATATATATATATATATATTAAATGTTATTTATATTAAATTTACTATTATATTATTTATCTTATATATATATATATATCAAAACATATTTAAAAACATTATTTATAATTTAAATTTTTTATTTATTTTAAATAAAATTATTTAAAAAATACTATTATTTGAAAAACATTTTGGGAATTCGGGTCCCCACGGGGAACCCTTCCCCGTCAAGGATCAGGGATGGGGTTAATTTCAGAATTGAGATCGGGGACAGGGAATATGATCCCTGCCCTGTTGTCATTCCTACATACCTTATAGTGTTACATATTTACTTATACATACCATATAGTTTTCATTTTACTAAAACATCTCATATATTTTATAACTTATTTACTTAATCAACATTTCATTAAGAAGTGTTTGTTTTGCCATTAGGCCCATATTTTTTAAATGAACTTTAGGGTCAACACTCTCAGTTTCTACTGTCATCTAATGGAAGATTGATTAAATACATTGCAAATAATAAGTGGTGCTTTAGTAAAATGCTAACTATACAGTAGATTTTAGTAAATTCATAAAACTATAAGGGGTATTTTATTATATGACTCTTTATATTATTTAGTTTTCTCTTAATAAATCCCGTGCATCGCATGGGTCCCCGCTAGTTTGTTAATATAATCCTGTTTTGCCAAAAGAAATAAGAGGCTAAAGCGCATGGATTCTTGTTTTCCTAATGGATCTGACGAATTTGGAAGATGTTTTTAATATACATTGGGATGTAATTGTGAGATTAATGTGAGTAGAGGTGTAAAGTGGGTCGTGTCAGGCTGGTACGACACGACCTTTGGGAGGTTTGCACAAAGTGTGGGCCGTGCCATGCTGGCCCGCGGGCCGTCACGAGCTGTGCCGCTTTCCCTGGTGAAAAATTTGGGGGTCAGCCCGGCACGACCCACGGCCTAGGCCTATGCAGGCTTGTGCTGTGCCACGGGTTGGGCTGGCCCGTGGGCCAAGCCTTGGGCTAAGTCGGGCCGTGCATCGGGTCAAAGCTATTTATATTATTTAAAAAAATTGACAAAAAACTTAAAATTTTAATTTTATATGAATTTTGTGTATATAATTGCTTATATACAATAAATAAATAAATTAGTATAATGAAATTAAAAAATTATTTATTTTATTAATATATTATATACTATATATTTATTGTATAATTATAATTTATATATAATATTATATATATATATATATGGGTCGTGCCGCAGGCCATGCTGGGTAGGGTTGCGGGTGGACCGTGTCAGCCCGACCCGTGGACCTAAAACCCCAGGCCCAGCACGGCTTGCATGATCATGTCGGGTTGTGCCAGGCTAGCCCAAGTTCATGCCGGGCCGCGAGTGGCACGACCCGATTTACACCTCTAAGTGTGAGAAACAACGGACCCACAACCTTTTAATTTATTACGTTTGGTGAAAAAATCCAGAGTCTGAGAGCCCATGTATATAGTTATTGTATTGACTGAGTAGGAAAGGCAACGGGGCGGGGCACCCCCTCCCTGTACCCGCCCCGTCCCTGGTGGCGGGGTGGGGCATCTATCCCCCATCGGGGATGGGGAATCCTTGAATTTTCCCCGCTCAAAGACAATTATTTAAAAATTATCTATTTTATGGACAATTTATACATAAGATATTGGAATTTGGGGGTATTTTATAATTGAATTATAATACTTTACGGTAATTCAAAAATAAAATTATGGGATCCTAGGATTTTAAAAATTTAGGAAAAAATTAAAGATATTTTAAATATCAATATTAAACCTAAAAATATTTTACTAATTTACCTTCGGATTCGAGGTGGATTTGAGGAATTATATACAAAATCCGTCTCCACCCATACGGGAGAAAATTATTTTTCCCCTCCCCGCCCCGTCCTTATTTAGGGTCGGGAAAAACCCACCCGGTTCGGGGCAGGGCGGGGCCCCGGTTTTACGGGGGGTAATTGCCATCGCTATGACTGATTCACTTTGGAGAAACTACCGCTGAAAAGTCAAAATTTCTGTTCATATATTTTCAAATTTTCCGTTTTGTACTAAACATGGCTTACGGCTTTAATTCTTGATTTCTTAGGTCATGTAATGTTAAAAGCCGCTGTGTAGATCTTCCAAATGCGCACCAATGTCAGACTGTTCCTCTTTGAAATTTAAATAACGTATCAAGTGCTTCAAAGCAGCTGACCAACTTAGCTGAATCTTCAATTCAGGCCATTCAGCCCTCCCAAATGGGTCCTAAAAAGACAGGTGGATAAGCAATTCAATTTGGCTGATTCTGTTTAATGGGCAAAATAACATATGCGCATTAAAGCACACTTTTAAGATAGTCCCATACAATAGTCACTATAACCAATCAAACCAACAATAGTTACAATACGTGATGATGTCCGGCAACCAGTCTGTATCCTACCTTCGGTAGTTAGCGATTAGCTAGCTGCTTTTCTCTGTTTCCCAGCCTTGCTATTTTTTGGGTCTTTTGGTTTATAATCTGCAAGATGACAGAGGTGAGACGATGATGTTTGATGACTCCGGCAATCAATCTGTATTCTGGTCAACAGCAACCAGCTGTATTATTATGTGTTCGGTGATTAAAGATCATCATCGAGTTTTTTTCCTGTTATTATGGATCATCATTCAAATTGCTCGGTGTTTCAAGTTATCAGTACTTAGAGGCACCTCAAAAGGCTGATTAAAGCAAACAAGCCGGAGATAATCTTCATCTCTGAAACTAGGCTCAATACAGAGAGAAGCCATAAGCTAGCTAAATATTTGAAATATAATAATTCTGCCCATGTCGAAGCAACAGGTCGATCTGGTGGCCTCTTATGTTGTTGGGACTCGCATATAAACATTCAGGTTTTGATGACCACAAATCCTATTATCAAACTGAGCGTTCTCGATCGATCTTCCTGCACATCAAAATTGGAAGATAGTTTTTCTATATGGTCGTCCACACAGAGAACACAGAAGATCTATATGGGAATCTGTACAAAACATGCATGATCTTCGAGAAGGCCCATGGCTGTCAATTGGTGACATGAATGCCCTTGTTTCTCTTCATGATTACAAATCTGGCCGGATTGGTAGAATAGCACCACAGTTATCCCAAGCCGTGCAGAATACAATCGATTCATTTGCTCTTATAGACCTTGGGTTTATTGGTCCACCATATACATGGACAAATGGACAATCTGGCTCATGTATGACTGCTGAAAGACTGGACAAGGCTTTGGCTACGCAATCATGGTTGCAGATCTTCCCAGACTCAAAAATCTTCCATCTCCAGTTTAACCACTCCGACCATTGCCCTCTACTTCTCAACACTCGACCTTTTAAAGAAAACATCAAACCTCACTTTCATTTCTTGCCCATTTGGGCAGATCATGAAGACTACAAGGAAATTGTGGAATCAACCTGGGGGAAGCAGATCCCTGGTTCAAAAGCACGCCAAGTCACCGTTAAACTCAAGGAATGGAACAAGAAAGTCTTTGGAAGGGTGGAGGAAAGGCTTCAATGGCTGCAACAAAACATACATGATTTGCAATCTAATCTGAGAACTCAGCGCGACAAGGAAAACCTGCGAATCCTATACAAGCAATATGATCATTGGCTAGAGAAGGAAGAGCATCTTTGGCGAGTCAAGTCTAGAGAATTATGGTTAAAAGCAGGGGATCACAACACTATATTTTTTTCATCAAATGGTGAAGTACAAAAGGAGAAAGACAAGACATTGAGTGGATCCAAGGAAGGAATGGTGAGTGGCTAACCAATTGCAACGATATAGCATCAGTTTTTGAAGAAGCAATCAAGCAAGTGGGTAATATAGATGAATCAAGTCAATTTCATTAACTTGGCATTTTGGATTTTCCAAACTTACTTACACTCAATGTCACTTTTATTCCTAAGTGCAGGAATCCAGAAAGGCCATCTGACTATAGGCCAATAAGTCTCTGCAACATTATCTATAAAATCATCACCAAATGGATGGTAAATCGAATGAAGCCATTACTTCATGAACAAATTCCGCCAAATCAAGCTAGGTTCCTTAGAGACAGACAAATATCAGATCATGTCTTGCTCACTCAAGAAATTCTCCATCATGTCAAGAGACAAAGAACAAAGAAGGGATGGGTTGTAATCAAGTTAGACATGTCCAAAGCCTTTGACAGAATGGGTCGGCTTTTCTTGATTGAAGTTATGAAGAAAATAAATTTCCCACTTCATTGGTGTAATCTCGTACAGGACTGTATATCTATTCCATCATTTGCGATCGAGTTACAAGGAACCTTATCAAGACATTTTCAACTGAAGCGAGGCCTCAGACAAGGAGATCCTATTTCACCATATCTCTTCATTTTAGGTATGCAAGTTCTAACTCTCCTAATGCAAGAAGCAGAAAGCAAAGGACTCATCGTTCCTATGCACGGGCTATATGGTGTCATGCTCAACTTGGCATCAATCCGGATCACCATGGAGAAGTTTCTTTACATAAGATTCTCAATAATTGGCTCTTGTCCACCAAACGGGAGTTAACAAACCCAGATCAAGTTGTGTTCTTATCCAAAATTAGTATCTTGCTGAAACTAATATGGGATGAAAGGAACCTTAGAAGGCACCAAGGTGGGGGCATCTTCACCAGAGGATTTATTCCAACAAATGCCATCTTTCCTTCTTGAGATAGGAGACTCCAAGGGACCAAGAAACATGTAGTGAGAATTGGTTCCCATAGATTCCGAGCATATCAAAATTTGTACTGATGGTTCTTTTAATCCATTCTCAAATCGTGCAAGTGCAGCTTTTGTCATAGCCACTCACGATAATCACTTACTATTTGCATTAGGAAACGTCATTGCAGCTCAAGGAAGCCAAGATGCTGAATTCAAGGTAGTTGTTAAGGGACTGAAAAAAGCACATCAAGAAGAATATAAACGCATATCTCTCTTCTCTGATGAAGCACAGGTTATACAGGCCATTCAAGAAAGAAACAACATTGGCAATTGGATAACTCAAATGCATATTGAAATTATAATGCTCAATATCACAAAATTTGAGGACTTTCAAGCAAAACATATCCCTAGAGATCAGAATACTCTAGCTCATCTTTTTGCTTACTACTCTAGTAAGTTTGATGTAAATATAATATACGACTTTTCTGGGTTTCATGTACTTTCAAATTATCAATAAATTTTATTTTATTTAAGAAAAAAAAACCCAATTATAACTGGGACACAGAAATAAGAACCAAACCCGTTATAATTAATTTGGCTTTATTGGGTATATCGGACTCAAAACAAAGATCATTCATTCATAAAAATAAGCTTAAATATATATATATATATATATTTGTTAACCTACATAGCTCGAATTTTCTAATGAACAAGATGTTTTTATTATTAAAAAAGAGCTTAATATTTCGGCCGAAATTTTGAAGCAAAAAAAGGCCTGTGCAAAATACTCTCAAAAAGGGTGGTTGGTATGAACTTTCATATCTCTTGGAAAATTGGCAAGTATAAACATACTTGCCCTTTTTATAATTTACCTAAATTCAATCCCCGGACAGGTACAGACGTACAGTGCATGAATGAAATTAATTAAAGCCTCAAGATTACACCTTACTAAAAATTAAACTCATCCATCAAACCCAAGATTATTTCCAAATCAAACAACGAAACATAATCTCAATTAAACTAGATAATTAAGCAAAACAAGGACCATTGACATGACTACTCCAATAGGAGGAGATTGGAAAGTTGAGGCCGGTGATGTGGATGTGGTAGATGAAGTTGCAGAAGAGTCTGAGGGAGACGATCCATTGTCTGCAACCGTCTTGATCTTGACCTTCATCCCTTGGTCACAGTGGCCTGGCGTTCCACAAGCGAAGTACCTAGTGCCAGGCTTGCTCAACTTGACCACACTGTTTCCACCGTCCATGGAATCCACAGCACTACTTGTGTCGCAACTCTTGTATGCGTTTTCGTCAGCAAGCTCAACCACTGTGTGCAATCCTGCTGTGTACTTGAACACTGCGCAAATATATATGAACACGTTTTAAGATGATGGATTTTTAATTTTTATGGATATTGCACCTATTTGTCCTAACCTAAAATTTCAGAAACAAGACTAGAAGCCGACTGGCTCGTCGTGTATTGAAATCCCAGGTCAGCTTTCATTACCGCCAGGCCTAAAGAAGCTCAGTGTTGCAACAATACAACCAACCTTCAGTGATTCATATGAAGACCAGACAGAGTCTGTTTCATGGAGTACTCAAACCGAACCTGGGATCCAAAACCTTATCAAGTGAATCAGAATTCATTATCAGGTGAAGCTCATAGTGAACTCAACTTCGTGGGAATAGGGGTTTGGAATTGAGTTTATATCGAAACCCCATTCTCATTCCCGATGGAATGACATTTCCCCATCTGAGAGAATGATCTCTCACCAATTCCAACTGGTTCTAATTCAAATTCCGATTCTTATTTAAAAAATAAATCATTCTGATTCTGATTCCGATTCCGATTCCAATTCTAGAAAAGAAGCAAATGGGTGCAAGATAGAAACTTAATTACCAAGTTGGTCGCCGACTTTGAATGTGCGTCCTGAAGTCCAAGCGCTGAAATCGGTAGATTCACCCCAACCTTGGCTCCCTCCCACAACATGTTGGGTGGTAAGGGCTCCATTTGCGGCCAGAACCACGAACGACACCAACACCATGAGTCTATAAACACACGCCATTATATTGGAAAAATGCTTGCTCCTCTCTCCTCCCAGACTATTGGTTCTTTTGTATAAATAAAGGAGGGAATGCAGAGACGAGAATTCAAGAAATGCCCAATGGCCTTGGTTATGACTTGAGCTAGGCTGATATTTTTATACTAGTAAGGTTTCATTTACCGACAAGATTCATGTTTCTAGAAATTCGCCAGATTGCCCTTTTCAAGATCAGGCCTAGAGCTTATAGAGAAAGCTTTGGGCTAGCATGGGAGACACGGTAAGCAGGACTCAGGAGTCAGGAGGACAAGAAATACAAAGGATTTATCCATTTTGGGTAATGTGATGGGGGCAACAAATTAAGACTACTGCACTAGGCAATGGTGGTATATCAGTCATTTTACAACCACAAACAGGCCCCTTGAGTATAACTTCCCAACCGTTTTGGATTGTTCTTTAAGTTAGCGATAAATAATCAGACAATTTATTTAGACAAAAATTTAGAAGTCTTTTTTGTATAGCTTGGCTTCGAAACTAAGCAACAAATTAAATGGCACGCTTTATAGTTGTATAGTACTACTGTGCCACCAACGCTCTACTGCGGGCCCTACCGTGATTATTTTATCCCACCAAACGATCATAGACATATTTTGATATGGATATCATAACTAATTACATATGATATACAATTGTATTATTTTTGAAAAGTAATGAAGCATTATATTACTGACATTTACTCAAGAAATGGTTTAATAACACCCATCCGATCAAGCTATTTGAACGCACAATACATCTTTTTCTCTTCCAAATAACGTGGTAATGGTTTTTTTGTTGAAGAAAGATCTATAGAATCAACTAATTACATGGGACAGGTATAGGGGGATCTATCATCAGATGGTGCTTCTCTTTTATGAACACAGGACAGGGACGAACCAGAGACTGGTGCTTGTAAATTGTGATACAAAATACAACCATAAGAGTTTTGTATTGCTATTAGTCCATTAAATAAAAGGGACAGAAGATAAACAAGAGTCCTTGCGCTTTGCTCTTACTTTGCCTTGGGAAGGTTCTGTTCAAGAGTCCTCATCAAGTGGGAGCAATTTGGGCTGGGCACGAGTAGGCGAACTCGGGCATACATATTGGGTTGGGCCGGATATGGACCCAAGGTCCATGTCTTAGGGTTGGGCCTAGCTGATCAAAAACCCCGGCCAACCTGCCCAAGTTACACCTCTGTAGACAACTCAAAATAGTGTGAAGTTATCTGGAAAGTAGCTAGCACTGAAACATCATCAATCTGGCCCCATTTGGTTAGTGGAAATGCGTTATTCCAATTCCAATTGCTTGATTGAGTGGAATTATAACCCCATTTGAGGGAATGGTCATTCCCTCCCCTTTCATTTGGGAATAAAATTTCGTTTTTTGTTGATTCCAATTCTCATTCCCGTTCTTATTTGAATCAAACACAATTATGGTAATAGATCATTCCGATTTCAATTACAATTCTGAGTTTCTGACTGCAAACCAAACGGACCATACATGTATATCAAGAAGCTTAGATCTTATACAAACAGCTACAATATAACCAATTTCAATTGTAAGGGTAAGATGCTTCTTGTCTCGGTACAAAATTACAGTAACCCACGCTGTAACATGTCATCGTATGTGTAGGTGTAGCCCAACCCAATCCCCTTGGTCTTGGGTGGCGCTTGCATTAGTGCTCTTCTTCATCGTCCCGTTGTTGTAAATTATAATTAATACAATTAATTATATGTACTACGTATGTAGAGTGTGTATATATCGACTATCAACTATCAACTATCAAGCATTGGTTGGTTCCTCTATTGGAATGGGTCATCTCACAGTGACTGATCACTGACGTCTGAAGAAGGCGATGATAGCGTTGTAGACGATTTCCCTGGCAGAAACTCCGAGGATAAAATCCGCATGAGCAAAGTCTCTGATAAATTGAACGGTGAGCTTGTCGCCGTCATGGAACTTAAGACTGTCGAGTAAAAGCCCAACGTCTCGAACGTCTGAGAGCGCATCCTGGCCTCCGTAGCTGACGAACAGAGGAATGTTACGCGGGATGTTGGAGAGGTTATAGATGGGTGGCCTTCCCTGCCCGTAATACTCCATGTTCAAATCTCGATTCCCGTAATCATATTTCGACAAGATGCCGTCCCGGACCGCTGCAATTAATTACGTTACGTATGTATAATCAATCAATCATTCTCTTCCCCTAAATACATATATTGCCACAGAAGTAGTTAATTGGATTGGGAGTTGGGACTCACTCTGAGACAGATGCACCAAATTTTTGGTTGAGGTTGACTGAGGCTCATTCTTCAGAAAAAGATCAAGGGTGGAAGAGTTAAGGCAGCAGTTCTGGCCTTGGAACACACAATTAAGTTAATAATAATAAGCTTAATTAGGTTGAGCACTAGCAGAATGACGGCTTTGACGAAGTAGGAGGCAGATTATTAGTACCAGTGAAGGACGTCAACAAGTCGTAGCAGTCGACCCCTGGGTTTGCACAAAGAACATTGAGGAAGTTTGCCACAGGCTGCCTGTTTAATTAACAATACTTTAATTAGGGAAACAAATCCACTTCCAAAGTTCCAAGTTTAAAGGCCATATATATGATGAATTTGTCTTACCCCTTTGGGTTGAACTCTGAAAAACCGATTAGGGTCGTTATCTGCGACAAGCAAATGATATCAAATTAGCAACTAAGCTCGAACAAGCAAATGATATCCACTTAGAGATCTAACTACTTTGAATTGCTGGGGACTGGGGTGGTATTTGAGACTTGAGATGGTAAAACAATGCATGTTCAAGCAGCAGGTAAAAGTAATGGAAATGGGCAGATGAGTAAGAAGTTAGTTAGTAGTATAGCTAAAGTTAAACACATCGACATGATCATGGAATGGAATTAGAAGATTTGTATAGTTTAATTAATTATTCCGACCCCCATATATAGTAATAGTATTAGTACCCATACCATACCTCTCCTACGAATGCTCTGGCAGCAAGTAGGCCCAGGGCGGTGGTCATATGACTCAAATAGGCTACTGGGCTTAGCAAGGCAGCTGATCTCAACTTGTCCACTAACTTCCCTTGGGAGACGGACGCCAACGCAATTAAGGTCCCCTGTCAAGATTGAAAAACCACCACTTGAATCCAGAATCCTTCAGCCACTGAAAATAATTAGAGCTTGGGATTTGGGAAACACATTGATTTTGGCATATTTTGCTAGCTAGTAACTCACAACGAGAGGGGTAAGGTGTTCACCATGGAGTGGCCCACGTAATGGAGCTTCTGCCCTGTTTGATGGTATATGAAGTCAAATATAGCCGGGAGATCATATGATACCAATTCGTCCCATGACCAAAACCAATAAGCCTGCAAAATAAATAAAGAGAGTTGTTTGTATCATTATATGTATGTATGTATGTATAATTTACATGCAACAGAATTGAAACAAGTGATACTGCTAAAAAGGAAAAAGAACCTGTGAAGCTGGATCAAGAGTAGTGTGGCCACGGCTATATCTAGTCCCTCTGGTGTTGGCAATCCACACATCAAACCCACTGTCTGCTAAGATGAACGCCAGCGATTGATCGGGTGAATTCATAACCCACGTCATTCCGTCCTGAAGCCGTAATTAAATTTGTAACTTGTAAATAAATAAGCTCAGCAAGAACAGACTCATTATCAAACAGACACCCACACATACAAAATTCATATAAATATGGACGATATACGTAACTTCCTACTCCTCTACAGTAGCTATTTGGCCCAGCTGACATTCAGTCTGCACACTTGACCGAATCCTATGGCTTATTACTCAGCCAACAGACAGGAAAGTTCACGGATTTACATGTTTGGATTCGTCGTGGGAAGACACGACAAAGGAGATATCTTGATCTGGCCCATGGGCTTAAGGCTATAAAAAACTCGGCAAGCATCCTCCCCCAATTGTCAAATGTCAAGCCCTTTGGCCTTTTTTGCCTTGGAGAACTAACCAAGACGAAAACAATGCTCATCTGCAATTTCATTTTTCAGTTGTGTGGTGAAGATACAAGAAGGTATGAAGAAATGCAAAATTTCAGAACCACTGATATTAGAGCGATTGGCGATCAATGTTGGGGTTGGGGGCATCGAGGTTGTCTTCATAGCTACTGGAGTCTGGAGTTAACCAGCCACAGCCAGGCCCCAGGTAGCGACAAACAAACAAAGCGTCCTTCCATGTGTAAAGACTAAAGAGGGACCCACCACTGAAGGGTGAAATTCAAGAATTGCCAAATCGAGAAGTTTATTTAACGGTTAATCCAGTTTGTTTTTAAATTAAAAAGACCATTATCTCTCTGTTATATATTACTCTCCTTCCTCTGTGAAGGGTTTTTAGGCTTTTGCCTTAAAAAGTTACCGACTCCGGCCACTCATTACCGGCGAAGAAGCAAGGAAGGGAAATGCGTAACACTACTAGTTTCTTCTATTAATTGTAGTAAAGCAGAAAGCTACAACCTAGCTAAGGGTGGAGCCGGGGTTCTTCCATTGGGTGGTGCTTTCAAATATCAAAACTTTTCCCTTGGATCCACCCCTGGATCCGGCAGCAAAATAATATCAGTATCACTAGCGGATCCTTTCTATCCTGTGTTCGTGCCGGAGTGATTTCATCAGGGCATACAGATCAGGAGAATTCTTTCACCTTAATTTTGACCGCACAAGAATTGCTTCTTTACGGGTGTAGCAAAAACAGAGGAACAAGTCTTCATCACCCAGAAAGAAAGAAAGCTAATGTATGTGAATGAGAGACAGAGTTGCAGCATTATGAAGATGCAAACGCACACTTACCACCAAAACACCATGTTGAAGTAAGACAGGTTGCTTAGTTCTCCCACCACCTCCGGAACGGCCCTCTGGGATTCTTTGTATGCCAAGAACGTATCCATCTTCCGTGGTAACCTGAAAAATCAAACCACTTATCAGGTGGAAGACATTGCAGGTTGGGGGGGCTGAACTGATCATCAATTCTATGTATCTCTTACCTCAAATTCTCGACACTTGTACCCATGTACGATCACGGAAGACGCACACAATCCGAACCTTGGATAAGGATCCCATGCTCCACCTGCTAATCCAAAGGTATCGTGCCGCGAACCATATGCTCGATTAGGCTGCTCCACCAGAAGAATCGAGAAGGAAAAGCTGAGGAGAGCCAATGACAGGAACCCACAGAGAGCCATTTGTGTTTTTCTCCGGTTTGAAGACCAGCAAGTAGAAAGTAGAAACCCTCCTTAGCTTTAAAAGAGAAGACAAGGTAGATAAATAACAGTGGAAAAACTAAACAAAAAGGAAGAGCCATTCTGTGTATTTTGCATAGGCCAATTGACTGGAATCTCGAGATTGAAAGGGAAGAGTTTTTTCACGTTCCGCTCAGCAGTAAGGAATGCTGTATTCTGTGGGACCCAACGGTTGTCGTTATATGACCGGAAAGGCTATGATACGATGGACGTAGGCCACAGTTTTGATGTGGATATCATACTTTGATGGGAGAATTTGATTGAGGATTTCTTAAACTGAGAATCACCATACCACCCGACACTTTTTATCATGTTCTCAATGCACGGTGGATGTGTCTATGAGGCGCCTATTTGCGAAGAACAGATGTCGTGGGGTAGGTTGAAGTCTTGAAGATGGTTGGGAACTTGGTGGGATCAAAATTTACGGAGAAGAGTTTTACTTTACTCTTTCCACTAAGCAGGAACCAGTCAGTTAGCACTGCTTCCAAGTTCGGAGCGCTCCAAGTGATAGACATATGGAATCAGGCCGGCACGCCCCTGATCGTCGAGTGTTGAGATCTGATAACGTGACTGTCCTTGCACGCCCCAAAAGCCACTTTATTAATATTAAAAAAAGCTATACATGATTATGATTTATGGGTCTAACGGTTTGTCTATTGTGTTGAACTGTTGATTCATTGATTTGCTATCTCTATATGTAACTGTATATGCATAGAATACGACAGTACGCCAATACGGTTAGTGGTTTTTTATTTGTTTGTTTCTATACAAGTGATTATTATAAATTATATTTTTGTTAAAGAAATCGATATTAAAATGCAATTCTTTTTAATAGCATATATTAAAATTACAATTTCGAATATATATTGTTATGTATATTATTCATATAATCATTACAAATTTAGACATTTAATATATTATATATAATCAGTTCGGGTTTGAGTCAGTTCGGAACAGTAAAAACCGGTTTTGAGTCAATTATAATTGGGACGACAATTACGGAACTGGAACCGACCCAATAAGACAGCAGATGGAACTATAACTGATACATAATTGGTTTGGTTGGTTCGGGTAGACCTGACGCATTGACAGCCTTATTAATAATTGTCTTTGGCATTTTTCCATTCTCATGCATCACATTAATCAAGTTTGAAAATTGTTGAAATTCTTGTAGCGAAGTATTTTTGAGTGCATGATTATTGGGAGCCACTCAGGTTGATGAATTTTGGAACATGACGCCTACATACCTATATCTTGTATGCACCAAACTTGGCCGAAAATAGGGGTGTTTACGAGTCGGGTTGGGTTGATTTATTGGGATTTTCCCAATCGACCCGACTTGGTCGGGTTACCTGAGGTGGAAATCGAAACCGACCCATTGATAGGCCAAACCGACCTGATCGGTTTGAGTCGGGTTGGGTCGGTTTGGGTCGATTTCGGTTTTGCTCCTGTACAAAAGGACACCTAATTGAATTCTAATTGTAATTGCCTAATGGGTCGCCTATTTGGTGTAAAAGATTATAGAAAATTAAAAACTATGATAGATTGCCTATTTTAATTGTAGTTGCCTAATGAACCTTCTAGTTCTAGTAGAAGATTAGTTATAGTTAAGTAGGAAAGTACTCAAACTAGAAACTACCGAACTAGTAGAAGACTAGTTCGGTTTGGGTCGGGTTGGTTTCGGTTTTCACACAAAAAAATTGAAACTGACCTGATATATCGGTTTATATATTTGCCCAACCTAAAATCGACCGGTATTGATGAAAACCCAGTCGACTCGGGTTGGATCGGTCCGAATTGATCGGTTTGATTGGGTTGGACATTCTTATGAACAGCCCTACTCGAAAATAGGCGAAGTTCTGCTCAAGGACAATGTCTTGAACATATCTCAATTGATAAGTCTAATTTTTCTTTCTTTTTTTTTTCCCTTTTGCTTTTCTAACCTTCCTTGACATTAGTGGTTTTCTATTCTATATTTTCAAATAAATTTGATTTATTTCTTACATCTAGATGATTACATTTCACAAGTATCTTTTAGAGTAGCTAAGAGGGAACATGTAATCATAAAATTTTGAAGGTACTGATTACTCGCATTAGATCTCTTTTGATGACCACTACTCTTTTTTATTTATCCAAGAGACAATTTCGATGCAAATATCAAGAATTACACTTCAACCAATAGGACGCTATAAACACGAGAGATCAAAATAGCATAATACGTGGTCTTTGGAAGAACACTCTCTCAAAGACTATTGATCTAACCTACTAATTAGGGGTGGCAAATGGGTGGATTCAATACTAATATACCCGTATTGACCCACCAATCCATCATGATCCATCATCAATCATTGTTAAATGATTATAAGTCACCCTAACTCACCCATATTGATCCATTTATATTGATTCTTAACCACCCTCACTCATACTAATTCATCTATCCTCATCTATAAATATAAAAATGGGTCATGAGAGTTCGTATACTCGAAATAATAATTTTTTAAAGAATAATCTCTCTCAAGACTACCACATGATAAAAACTAGTTAACTCAAACCATACACAAAAAAATACAAAAAATATAGATAAATATAGAAAATAATAAAAAAATGCAAAAATACCAAACAAATTGCAAAAAAAAAACAAAAAATACAAAAAAATTGCAAAAGGCTTTTGAAACGGTATAAACAAAAACTTGCACTAACCGAGGCTGAACCCGACCAAAACCCTGTGAATTATGATGAATACCTCTTAATATAAATGAATTGGCACGATATCATTGAGCTGAGCATCCTCTCTTCACCGGCCATGAGAAGATTCGGAATACATAACCAGTAAGCCAAGGAGCTTCAATCATCTGGTTTATCAATTGCATTTTCCATTTTTAGTATCTTTTTAAAGCATTATAGGTGGTTAAAAGTTTCAGTATTTAAGAGTTCAATTATGATATACCTTTGAAGAAAAAAAAATACCTAAAGTACGGTACCAAAAAAGCTGGTTACCACTAACCTTGGATTTCAGATTGGTTAAAGTTTGTCAGACATTTCTTTCTGGTACGATAGAAATTGCCATATTTTAATAGTCCTACTATGGCAAAGCACTGCACTGTAAAGCCTACCTTATATGGCATCGGGGTGATGTCACAGGTAGATAGATAATCTCTATCTTCTCCTTTCATTCAGCCACTTCTCTCTTCCTTTACGTGACACCAATCAACCATTTTCTAATCCCACCAAAAACATCTTGCCCCAGTCCCCCACCCATTTCCTCTATGATTCTTTGGGCATATCTTTTATGAAAAAAGGTGCAGAAAAGGTAAGTGCGATTTGCGGTATTGGGTCCAGGCCCATGCCCAATAAGAGGCCAATAAAAAAGTTTTCAATGATCAATTTATTTATTTTTAATCCAACCAGAAATTTCTCTTCGTTTTTGTGGAATTAAGGCATTGAATAATAAATATCATAACAGAGGGTGTTCTAGTTACCAGCCAAAGAGAAAATACAAAATGCTATGAACACATTTTTTTTTCTTATCCTCGCATGCCTTACAAATCTTTTTTCACCATACACCCTCCAAATGCAAATGTATGGTGAAAGATGATTAATAAAACTTGCAATAAACTAGAAAGCAAGCACAATTTCGATGCTTGGAGGTTTCTGCTTTGTATTTTCTTGGGCCTATGATTAGAGCTCCATCTTCTATTTAAGGGTAGTGAAAGACAGCAATACCCCTGTAACATCAACATTTTATTGTATTTGACCATGAGCGCCTTCATAACATTGTTACTTTTAATTAGGGCTGCCACTTGGGTGGGCTCAACCCTAGCCCAGCTTGACCAACCTGATCTTTTTCTGGGCTTAATTCCATTTTTGGGCTTTAGGCTGGGTCCGGGCGTGAAAGCTTTGACCTATCAAAATCATGGGCCAAACTTGGGTTACAAAGTCAGGCTTAACCTCAGGTCAGGCCTGGGTTTGGGTACTTAGGTTTCACAGTTAAAGCTGGGCCTAGAGACATTGGCTTCAGTCAGTGCAAATTCCATTGTATTCGAATAGCCTTCACAGTTTGCATTGGGAATATTTTCGTACTTCTATGCTTTATTTCATGGGGAGATATTCCCAATGTAAGATTATAAAGACTGTTCGAATGAGGCTTGCATTGACTGAATCCGGTTTCGGGCCTAGATTGGCTCTAAGCCCGGTCAAATAAATCCACCGTCCACCGAAGCTGCAGCAGGCCTACTTTTTACGCTGTATTAGGTTTGAAAGAAAAAGGTAGGACCTTTCTTTCAAACCAAACGCAGCCTTAGTAATAAATGGAATATCCTGTTTATTGAAAACAGTAGTGCATCTAATACTTTTAAATGCCTAAAGCCTAACTAAAACAATGTTTGTTTAATAAGAAAAAGGAGGGCATTTTGAGTGAGCTGCAGTTGAGTTGAGGATTAACTCGCACTTACGGGATTGCCATGAAAGTAGAGCACCTAATACTTTTCGAGACAAAAAAAAAAAAAAAGAAAAGACAAAACAGAATAGGTGTTTACAGTTGAAAATGACAAAACAGCTTTTAGGCAAACTTTAATGGCAATGTGTTGGGGACCTCTCCCTTGCCGTGGATATATACTGTGCGTCTCTGAGCTGATTTGCCATTTTGAGTTTTACAAAAAGAAAAAGAAAAAAAAAGGCAATGTTTAATTCACATCCATCCGGTAATTAAGGCTGTAATCAGGTAAGGTTCAGATTTATATTGGCTTTGACTATGATACTAGAAAAATTATGATTAATCAACCGGTTTCAGAAAAATAGTAACCAATCATGCGGTTTTTTTTTTTTTTTATAAAAAAAATGCATGGGGTTTAATCGGTCAAATCTCTTTCCATATAATGTATTTCCGGTATTATGGATATTTTTCCTATGTATGATAAAATGCAAATTTTATAAAATTAATTTAGATTCGAATCTTAATCTAGGGTTATATCTAAATATAATCCTATTATTAAACAGGTTAATTTTAAAACCCAAATCTGATCAACTTACGTGTTAGCCAAAAAGAAATGATTAATTTATGTAAATGAATTGTTTGAATAAAAAAAAAAAAGGGGGGGGGGGTCTCAGACTTTGTGGTGTGAATCAGGTAAGCAGTAAATACCTGTCCTTACAAAAAAGTTAAAATACCCGAGTCTATTCTTCAAAAGATTTAAAGCAATTTAGCTGTCAGAATATATATTGAGTGTGATTACAATGATGTGCCTAGTAGAACTTAAATCCTACTGTGATATTCTGTGTAAAACTTTAATCTAGGTCCGTATTTTTATGTGTTTGTTTTTAGTCTAAGTTTTATATTGAAAATCAATATAAACTTTATGCATAATTGAATTTTACATCGATTATTATACTTTAAAAAGTTTCAACAATTCACTCATTTTAAATCCATCAGTGTTCAACTCCGTCGATCTATTTTTATATCGATGACAATTTACACCGAAAACAAACACAACTTAAGGCTCAAAATTTTAATTTTTACGGTAACAATTCAATGAATGCACCATCATCGAGTATATGTTGCGTGTGTATCAATCCTTGGCTTCGAAGTATTCGAACAACAAAACTTTCCTAACCTTTTGTTTTTTCAAATTCAACCCGATAAATGATAACACATGGGAGATAAGCAGCACAGCATGCTCATTGGTTTAGGTTGTTCATGTAACATGGGCCTTCCGGTACCGTAGAAAACTAGAAATTGCCTACTGTGAATAACGGCGACAAACAAAAGAGACCACAACGTTTAGCTTGTAAATGTAGTCAGTTTAGAGATTGACCATCAGTATCAGTGCTTTGAGAACACGTTTGCCTCTTCCATTCCAAGGCATCGTATGTTCAACAAGCATTTCGACTATACATCTTCTCCTTCAGTGTTGTCCATGCTCGGGCTCCCTTCTTTCCAGTGGTCGGTCGTTTCTGTCTGTCCATAAGAAGAGATGAAATTCCTTCATTTGAGCTTATTGCTTGTACTGTGTGCAGAATATACATTTTATAGAGTTCTACATTATTTACAGAGCATTTTGAGCTGGAGAAACTTCACCAATAGCTAGAATTTTCTATTTTTGGGGGTAATTCTCAAGCAAGAACTGTTGGATGGATCAATGGTCAGAGTGTCACAGTGAGGATGTTCAAACAACCTATACAAATCAGGAGAGCAGAAGTCCTTCAAAACTATGTATTTCTTATGTTTCTTAAAACGAACCTGACCTTCCATCAGAGTAAATCTCAACCCACTTACCCTCAAGTTGCACCAGCAGCAAGCTCGCATATTTACATTCCATACCTATTCTATGCCTTCATATGGATATACTACTCAGAAATGGCAGATCTAGAACAGCAATGGAAGAGAAAGCACACATGTATCTCTTTTATACATAAATAGTTGCCTTTCATAATTCATACATCCATCTTTCTCCATTACAAGGGCATTCGAGTTTGTTTACAGCGGAAGTACCTCTAACTTGAAAAGGATAATACAGCTTTGCTTAAAAAAGTAACTAAACTAAGACTGTAACACTTTCGATGGAGGTAATCACAAAAGCATCCTCTCTTTTCTTTTTATACATGCCGTTGGATCTGAAAATTTTCACTAGGACTTGGGAGAGAATATCAATAATATGGCACCTCTATTATGAAAATCTATGGAGAGGAAAAATATTGGAATTTGTAAGTTGGGAGATCCCAGACCCTGGCTTTTTTTTGTCCATTTACACAAATCTAGAAGTGAATCCTATCACTGAGAATGGGAAATCAGTTTCTGTTATCCTCCACCACTTCGGCCAGGGCTCAGTTTCTTCTTTCTCTCATTAAAGCCAAGATTCGGGACTATACTTGGAAGGCAACACTGTGCAGCCCTGGATGGTTTCTCTTTCTCATGCTTGGAGTCTCTATCAGGAGTTGTCTCACTACTACAGATGGAGCTTGCTCCAGATGCATATGGGACTCCATCAGTAGATCTTGATGGGAGGTCAAGGTTTGATGGTTTAGGTTCTGGCTTTCCATTGGTCATAATCTGGTTGCCTGCAACACTTTGATCACCAAGGAACACATCTCCATCAAAGCTCTCTCGGAAAAGTTCAGCTAATTTCTTTTTCTTATCAGTTGGGGATGGTTCACATTTGAAGTTGGCAGCCCCATCCACAAAAGGAAATTTATTAAGTCGAGGGGTTCCTATGAAGCTGCTCTGATGAACTGGAGTACTGCCACGAGATGGAGTAAACTCTGCATAGAAGACAGACCTAATATCAGGGCAACATGTAACACCCAAAATTTTTAATAGAATGTTAAAACATAAAGAAATTTATCACAACGGTTGTAAAGCTTTAGCTTCATGCAAGAGAGCAGTGCCATATATTTGGTCAACTTGTAAAAAAAACAATATTTGCAAATTGCAACTGACCAAGAAATGAGCTTTTCTCAGTGGAAAGCCAAAACCATAAGAGTGGGTGCTTTCTTGGCTATTGTCCATTTGAGGGCAGGCCAGCCAACTAGATGGCCTGAAATGATTCTAGGAAGAGCACGTGTACAACATACAACATGTAACATAAAGCCATCTAATGTTGCTGATAGCACAATAAGGTACAACATGATTTCTTGTGAGAAAGCAAAACATGGAGACTTCATATTATACTAGTTGATGTGATCTTACCACCATTGACACTGAAGAAATCATCTTCGCAATCTGATTCTAACCAAGGTTGGGAGTCAAAAAAAGTTTCCTCTTTACTACCTACAAAGAAAAGAAGATTATTTAAGATATGAATATGTCTTCAATTTAGTTCTCCTTTTTTTGCAAAATAACTAAGACTTATAACATGATATCATTTGCAAATAATTATCCAAACTTGCAGTTAAAACCCCGACTTGGTATAGATTTTGCCATATTATGATAACTAAAAATGGTGATTAAGACATGCAGACAGAACCACAGAAATAGCAGGTCATACAGCTTAGTCACGAATCAGGCATTAACCGCCCACGTTTTGGAGATATCCTGCATCACACATTGTGCCATCAAACGGTTTCGTTCTTTGTACAGTAAAAATCATCTATTAAGTGGTAAAGGAATTTATCCAAATGGCTCATTTTTTCCAATACCCTAGTATAGAGCACAATAGCAGTCAATATGAGACCACAGGTTTATTTTGTTCCATATCTGGAAAAGGCACCAATACACATTGTGCAGAATAACAGAGAGATTTGGGGAAGCACTGAGAATATTTTTTGCAAACCTGACCACAGAATAAATTCTGCCCTATTTTTATTGGACATTCCCATTGTGTTTTGCAACAATCTTTCCCAGCTTTTGAGTGGCCCCTTCATTTTCCAGTTGTGAAATTATTGCAGGGCATTACATACATTTACTACATTGAGGGTCCGTTTGGTTCACAGCCAGAATCGGAATCCAATTCTGATTCCAGTCTAAACCAAACAGGTGAGGGGAATAGACCATTACTCGGGGTCCGTTTGGTTTGTGAGAATAGGGGTCTGGAATCGGAACCGGAATTGTAATGATCCATTCTGTTTCCAACTGTTTGGTTGGGTGGAATCGGAATCCCATTCTCATTCCTGGTGGAATGGCATTCCCCCATTTGAGGAAATGGCCATTCCCTCCCCATGCACATGCTACCTGGTTGATAACTACATCATAGTAGAGGAAATGCTGATTACAGGAGGATATCTGAATAAAGCCCAGGACTTTAGCGACAAAATAATCTTTATTTCCAAAGCTTGACCCAGCCAAATTGATGAAAATAACCCTTTATAATGAACACTGGCCATTCTAGCTCACTTGGCCTACTTATTGAAATTCACCTACTTCCTTTTAATTTTTGCTTTTGCAAAAGCTGTCAAGCAGGATTTTTTTTTTTTTGTGTGTGCGTGTGTGGGTGGGGGGGCTGTAACTGATCTAGAAACAAATTGCACAGCACAATCTAGATAGCATCATGTAATGACAAGCAAGGTGAGAAAGAGAGAGAGAAGAAAGAGGCATATTATTCAGAATTCAGATTTATATGCGAAGCGGGATATACAAATTATACAATATACAATCCATACAGGATATGCTTGAAAAGCAGCTAGTCTCATGATCTTGGCATATTAAATTTATTGCATCTAAAATCCACAAGGATGGAAGAATTCAAAGAATTAATCAGTTATAACACAATAAATGACAGAACACACTATAAATAATTAATCAGTTATAACACAATAAATGACAGAACACACTATAACTGATTAATTCAAGAATTAATTAGTTGTAACACTGAGTTTTCTTTTGTCTAGCATATAATCCAACGGCAGGCTACGAATCCTGGATTCATTTCAAAGAAAATCAGCCCTGAGGGTAAATTTTCAAATCATAAGCTACTGTCTCTTAACATCTACGGTTGCAATTTAATCCACCTAGGATCCTTACTATAGGCGGTAATGGATGAAACTGCACAGCCTTGTGAATAAATAGATTCAACCCACAAGACAAACAGTACAGTTTTAGTCGAACTCTGCAGTAATGCAAAATCCAGATCAGTATAAAATAGTAATAAAACTGATTACGTAAATCAAAGTAAATGCGAAATCCGTTTTTTTCACTAAAAAAGAAATCCCATCTCAGAATTTGGAGAAAGAAATAGCCAAGAAACAAAGAAGAGAAAATACACGGGTTCAACTTGCCAACTGCAAAAGAAAGAAAAAGAACAAAACTCATCTCTAAAGCAAATCCTAGATGAGAAATTGACTGAGAAGTAAACTATAACCAAAGAAAGGGACTATTCATATCTAATTTGCACTTATCACCAGACATGGCAAACAGAAAACAAGAATCAACATCTGATTTTTTTTTTCAGGCAAAAAATCCAGAAAATTAACTCTTACAGTTAAACCAATCAAGAGAAGAAGAAGAATGCATATGCATCGGAACAAATAAAAAAGGATCATACCAAAGTCCCGAATAGTAGTCACAGAGGGCGGCTGAGGCAAGAACTGAGACTTGAAGCCGAATTCAGAGATCGGGTGTTCACCATTTACGGGTTTTTCCTCATTGGAGGAGGGAATCAATACCTTATCGGTCTTAGAACCGATCGATAAACGGTACTTTATGGCTGAATCCGGGTTCTTATGGATGGAAACACAAGAACCCATTTCTAAGAGAATGCTCCTTTTTTTTTCTCACTCAGCTTCAAAACATCTCCATATTATTATCTTCATGAACTTGAAGAGAAAGAGAGAGAAAGAGAGTCAGAAGCAGGGAGAAGTGGTAGTAAATTTGGAGTAGAAGAACAGAAGAGAAGAGGGTATTTTTGGCTTTATGCAGAAGGAAGGAGTCGAAAATAAGAAAATCTGAAGAGGGAGATTGGACTTGAAAGTGAAGCCATAACCCACAAGAGTGGCCGAGTGGGTCCTTGAAAAATAAAACAAAGCAAAAAAAAGGAAGATGGAAGGAAAAAAAACGAAAAATCAAAAAGAAAAAACTAGGGCTCTTTTATTGATTTTTTTTCCCGACTGAGAAACAGAACAGGAAAAGCTGCCTTTTGGGAGTTCCGGTTCTTTGCTTGACCTGTTGTGCTTTGGCGGTTTCTCTGGCGCTCTAAACACGTTCATTTTCCTGCAAATCCAGAGAAAATTTGGAATATTTATTAACACTTCACTTATTTTACCTATTTTAACCCGATCCAATATCCATCAACCAAACCCGTTATGTGTAACCTGAACTAACTTAAAATTTGTTTCGGTTCCGGGTTTTTTATTCACGACCCACGACCCAAGTCGTGGAGGCAGGCAGCCCAACCGATCGACTTGGGAATATCAGCTCACCGGAACCCTGGCCGTTTGGAGTTAGGTCCGTGACGTTTGAATTTTCTGTAATAATAGTCTCAACCATTGAATCAAGGGGCCATTTCCTTCTCACACACATTCAAACAAAAACTATGGGTGCGGCGTGCGGGTGCCTAGAGGAGCAGTCAGACCTCCCAAAACTCGGAATGAGTCAATGCAGATTAGAGGTCAATAAAAAATGCCATGGTTTGTATGGTTGTTTGGTTAATAGTTTGTTTGCATAAATGCATTAACGATGCGTATTGTGTGTCATTGGGCCACGTATAATCTGATAAATATGGAGGAGCATTGACTAATTAATTAATGACTGACCCAACCTCCATGGCTTCTGTTGAAGGTGGTGACTAAACCAACTTTCTGTTTTTGTCTCTTGGATGGAACATGAAAGCATAAGACATAAAGACAACATTGGTTGATTGATTCGGATACCCAGTATTTTTATTTTATTTTTATGTGTGTTTTTATTATTGCATTATATTTTTTTTTTGGTAGGTTATCAAAATCAATAAAGGGAGATTGAACGGTTAGGATCATTGAATCGGTGTGATATTGTGGTCCTAGGGGTAAGGTTTGCGCTTGGGCGGCAAGCATTATTCTTATTGTCTCATTCTCATCTCAATCTCATAGTCAAGCAACTCAGTTCACACTTCACGCATGTAAAACCTTATTAACCCATCAAGTTAATAAAGCGAAAATGATTGATGATCTAGTAGGATAGAAATGGATGGATATTTTCCAGACTTCACTCCAGAAGTCCAGAGTTTGCTATCTTGCTCTCCCTTTATATATATATATATATATATATATATATATATATATTTCTATCTCGTTTTTTCTCAAATTTTCCCTATGTGAAAGTGCTTCTCCTTGTTATATGGATTTGTTTTTTTTTTTCTTCTTTTCTGGGTGAATGCTGTTATCTTAATATGGAATTTGTGCTTATTTATGACTTGTTAAATCAAAAGTGATCACGATAGAGACCCTTATCGTTATCATTAGGCTAGAAAACCTTTACAAATCTTATATAAATTTCTTTACCTTTCCCTTCCTTTTCCTTCAAACCAAACATAGCTTTAGGAAATGGCATCGAGCCCGTTGTGATTACAATACATTATTCGTCATGTGATCTGGATATGGATCAATAGCAAGTTCATTAATTCGGAGCAGCTAAAGTATAATGGGCAACCGATTTTAGACTTGGCTGGATCTGAGTTCAGCTTGTTTAGATATCTTGAATATGATTAACTCAATTTGTTATTCATTAGCTAAGACATTGAACTGTGCAAAGCTTGGCTCGTGATGGTCTGGACGAGAAGCCAAGGTAATAGATTCTTTTTTTCTTCAGTTTCGAAGAATTTATGAATGACAAAACATAAGTTTAATAAATCAAATGCATGCATATAAGGAATATGTTTTTTTCAAATATAAAAATTATTAAAATCAAAACACTTCATATTTCCCCATGTTTTATTAAAATCCGTATTATCAATCAGTTTGCATTTCATACATGTTAGGGGGATTAAAATATCCATAAGCTTGATACTCTCAAGTGGATGTTAGTGCATATGAATGACCAATATCATTAATTTTTTATTTTTTTTTTCTTTTTAACTTGTAGATACTAAGGCTATGTTTGGTTTGAAGGAAAAGGTAGGAAAAGGAAAGGAAACATATTAAGGTCTAAAAGTTCCTGCATTTTATTTTTTTTCCTAAAAAAAAAACTTTGTATTGAATACACACTAATGTAAGTGTATCATATCAATATTTTTATACTGCATATTACTTGGTATTGATTTCTACTTTTGAAGAGTGAGTGGTTTGTTGTTTTCTTTTTAAAAAACTTAGGTTTCGTTTGGTTTGCAGGAATAGGGGTATGGAATTATATTATTCCGTTTCCAATTGTTTGGTTTGGCAGAATCAAAATCATATTTCCATTTTTTCTGAAATGACATTCCCCCATTTGAGGGAATGACCATCATGGTTTCAGAATTTGACTGGACCAGACGGTTGGACAAGAAAAACTGGTAACCGGTCAGCCCCTAGGTCCGATAATACTATAAATTGGAAATTCCTTAAAAATGTTGAAAAGTCAGAAAATCGATGATCCGGGCAGTCAAACTGTTAAGTCATTCACCCCGGGTAATGGTTCATGGGTTATATTTTTTATTTTCACTGATTTAAATAAAATAGAAAAAACAAAAAATAAAATGACTTTCATATCCCCGCCCCAAATCTTACTAATGGTCAAGGTTAGAACGACCCCCATTTTCGTTCTAACCCTCCTCCTCTCAGCCTTCACACCCAACCGACCACTTACGACGACCACGACTTACAGCAACACATAACGACTGACGACGATTTACAGCGACCAGCAACAACGATGAGCTTCATCTACAGTGACTAGCGTTGATTTTACAGTAGGTCCAACCGTCCAGTAGTAACAGGTCCAGCGATCGACTTGCAGCAGCGGCAGGTGATTTTGCAGCATTGGGCAGGGGTTTCTAGTGGCAGTAACAGTTGTAGGCTTGCAGCAACACTTGTAGCAGCAATCACCTACGACCAAGCCTGAGCCCACCGTCACATCACCGTTACTGGTGAATCCACCGTCACACCACCATTACCGGCAAGCCCACCGTCACACACTCACACCACCATCAGGCCAGTCCACCGACGGAGAGCCCGATTTTTCTGTATTTATTTGCACTTTTTTGTTTTATTTTTCTGTACTTATTTGCAATTTTATCTTATATTTTTCTGTTTTTATTTGCACTTTTCTGTTTTATTTTTCTGCTTTTTTCAGTATTTATTTTTATTTTTCTATTTATGTTTTTGTATTTATTTGCACTTTTCTGATTTATTTTTTTTTGTGTTTTTCTGTATTTTTTGTATTTATTTATAATTTCCTGTTTTATTTTTCTGTTTTTTTTTACAATTTTCTGTGTTTTTATGTACTTTGTTATTTTTGTATTTAAATAGTTTTATTTTTCTGTATTTTTTAGAATTTTTATATTTTCTATGTGTTTTGTATTGTATTATTTTTGTATTTAGATAATTTTATTTCCTGTATTTCTGTATTTTTTATTATTTTATTTAATTTTATGCTAATTTTATTGTTTATAAATATTTTTTATTTTTAAATTATTTATGACATCACAGGTCAAATCGTTTGATCCGGACGGTTGAATTGCTTAACCAGAAACCGGTCCCTTAGCCGGTTCTGTTTCTGTTTCGTTTTTAAAAACCTTGATGGCCATTCCCTGCCCCTCTTTTGAGAATGAAATCCCATTCCTGATGATTCCAATTTTCATTCTTATTCCTATCTGAACCAAATAGACTATAGGAATAAATCATTCCGATTTTGATTTCAAAGGTTTTTTCTGACTGTAAACCAAACAGGCCCTTATACGCATAGAATTCTATGGTTCCTATATATTTATCACTATTATTGCCACTATTATATCTTTCGATGAAGTTCAATTATGGTATGTGAAGTTCACATATATAAGCTGTATGTGCCTCTAGCACAGCCAAATCCAAGTTCGTTTAAAAACAAAAACGAATGAATTTAATCAATTTATTTAAAAGACAAAAAAATTGAGAGTGAGAATCTCCACAATATATAAGAACCCCACCAACATCCATGATAAGAATCACTAATATTTTATTAGGGATGATTTTGGGAAAATGCAAAGACAAAGACAAAAAGGAACTCTTGTTTATATTTTATAATGATAAGAAAAAAACAAACAGGTAAAGGCATTTTTTAATCTGTCAAAGCTTATACTCTTTTTTTTTTTTTTATTGATGCATAATTGATTAATGGAATACCCCTGTTTTAAGAAAACAAAAATTAAAAATAGTGTGCTCAAATCACTCCCCACATCCTATCCATATAAGGAAACTAGAATGTCTCGTTTTACAAGAAGAGTGAAATGGTGGTAAATAACCAGTTTATAGTTACACAACTCTCAGATTTCTTTGGGACACGGACAACGTGGGACCCTGAAAACGCATATCCAACTTTATTTTTTATTTTATAGTGTATTTTATCAAGGGTCCAATCATGTTTGTGCAGCTGTTGATTCTCCTTTGTTTTTATTTATAAAGGTTGTTTGGATTCTACACCCATAAATTAACAATACTAATTAACTGTGTTTTAAAATTTAAATACATGGCTGGCTTGTAGTTGTAGGGTCCAATATAAGAATTTATATTATTGGAAGGGAAAGGGAATTCTGCTGACATTTTCTATACATATACATATATAGACATTTGATTATAAATCTAGTTTAGAGGAACCGGTTTAAGATCCATTCATTCTCTGAACCGGTCAAAACTTTAATATGTATATGTATACAATAGACATACATATACATATATACAGACCAATATGTATGATACTTTGAACCTTGCCAGTGCATGGATGAACTGTCCCATTGATGGTGCCATTATTATCATTTCTGTAATAAAAGAACTGTTGATGACTTGATGTGATATTGAACGGTTCAGTTAAAAGAGTAAGGGCCCCTGTATTACAGTCAACTGTTTGGAAACCATGGAATGAAACACCTAACCTTCAATTGTCACATTTCAGTAGCTTACATTTCATATTTATG